CACTTGCTAGGGTCCACATGCTGTTCCCTGCACTGACATCTCACTCTCCATACCTGGCTCTGAGCCCTAGCTAAGTGCCTTATCTAGCTATTTAAAGTATTTAATTATTACCTCAGATAGAGTACCAATCCTCATTTTTCCATGTACTGATAGAGCAGAGCAAAGAGAGCAGCCCTGTTATCAAAGCACACTGTGCAGCTCTGAGAGGAGCCTTTCATCCTGCCAAAAGAGCCCAGGGCTGGAGCTGCTCTGAGGCAGGGAAAGGGAGCCTGCTGCCAGCACAGTGTGGGGACAGAGGTCACAGAGCAGGGTCAGCCTGGGAAAGGTTGTGCCAGCGGCCACGCCCGAGGCGTGTGGCAACCAGGTGGAAAAGGAGAGCAGAACACACAAACCCTTTCTTTTCAAAGGAGCTGCAGGGATGTGCTGCTCTGTTAGTCCATGCAGGTCACAGCTGGCCCCCCACAGCTCTTGGGAAGCAGAATTTGGGGAGGGCAGCTTTCTCCATCAGGGATTTGTATGTTTGAACTCAGGCTGAGTCCTGATGCTGTGATGCTCAGGATGACTGCCCCCCTGGAGGGCATCACTGGGCCCTGTGCCTCAGATTTTCCACTTGTACTCTACAACTTCACTTTACAAGACCTTCTTGTTGCTTTTTTTCCTTCCTCTCTTGGCAGCAGGCCTCAGCAGCACAACTGTCTCAATTACTGAAGGAGACCACTTCTGTCTGGAGCTTTTCTCCATGGATTTGCCACCCTTCCTATGCCTTTCAAATCAGAGGTCATATTCTCCTTTGGTTTTGGGCTGAATAAATAGTCTCCAGTCTGAGCTGAACAGCTTTCTTTATGGGCAGTGCTTTGCTTTTTACTTGTGTCAGGCAGATGAGCAAGCTCAGATGCATCTGGCTACAAAGTCATCAGGATGAGAAAACTCAGGCTGGTGATGTTCTAGGTTCTTTCACTTTTTTTTTACTCTCCAATCCTGTGATGTTGACAAGTGCTGATGTTGTTACAAAAGCTGTGATATGACTCTTCCCTTGGCCAAAATAATTCTTAGAGACCAAATGGGTCTCTAGTGAGTGGGGTACAAAGTGTGGACTGCTTTTTTCAGAGGAAAAGCACCTGGTTTAGGTGCCCTGAGTATTCCAGGGAAACACAGGATGGTCCTGGGGCTGCAAGGAGAGCTTCCTGCTGTCCTGTCCAGATGGCAGAAAAGATCTGTACCACTCTTACCTAACAGGGTAACTGAGGTGAACACAAATTTTTTCTGACATTATCATCAGGTCTGTAGGTATCTCACCATCCTCTTTCAAGACAGCCTTTCTTTTTAAACTGCCTAGGTACCTTGCAGGTGTGTATGCTTGGGTACTACTGCTTCAGGAGAGGTCACATCTGTTGGATCAAGAGAAGATGAAGCCATAGTCATCAAAAACATATGATTTCTGTTTTTTCTAATATTTTATATTTGCAGGAATTTGGTAATGGAGCTGTTAGTCTGAGAGATTAATTGAATTTCTCTTTCTATGCCATTATCTGTGTTTGGTGGAAGCAGTATGTTCAAACAATGTCCAACACTGTCAGCACAAGCTGACACTGTGGGGGGAGAAGCTCCACCAGCACTTCTTGGGGGACAAGGCCAGGGTGTCATGTCCGTGACTTCCAGCCAACTCATGGTCCTAATTCCCCTGGGACACTGTTGGGGTTTGCCATAATTTAGCTTCAGATCCCTCTGCAGTGATTTAGATATTAACCCCATTTTCAGGTTTTGGCTCCGTGCTGGGGGACGTGGAATCCCAGAGGAGCTGTCTGGCTTGTCTCAAGTTGCAGCCTTTAATTTCTCCCGGTGTTGGCTGTCTTGTGGGAGCGAGGAGGAGAGGTGGACAGCAAGGAGGAAAGGTGGAATGCCAGCAGCACACCCTTGTTGGCACCTTACAAATGGCAAGATGTCAAGGAAGGGGAAGCTGTGCTTTGCAGGGCATGTCAGCAGTCGGCAAAGGCGAGGTGAGGACTGGGAACCTGCAATGTTTTTGGGAAGGATTCTCCTTCAGAGGATGGCAGGAATGTTTCTGGAAAACAAACAAATGTGAGACTGTCACAATCTGTTCACAGCAAGACAAAAACAAAACAAAAAAAGCAAGAAATAAATTTTCTCATACCCACAGGGCCTGAGCAAGGCTGAAGGCAGAAATGCCAAATAAAGGCTAATATGCTGATGAAAACAGCCTCATTTTGATGTGCCTCCCACAAAGGGCTGTCTCTGGGACCCAAAAGCTGCTTATGAAGAAGGAGATCAGGGACACCAAGGAGAGAGGAAGAAAAAGCACTCCTTGACTTACCTTTCCAAACAGTTGCCAGCAAGGTTTGGTAAAGCAAAACAGCACTGCTGTGACCAGATGGGAGTCCCTGTCACTTGCAAGGACAATGTCATGATGGCTGTGTTTAAAAAATGCTTTGATCTTACTCCTGGTGATAGGATGGGCTTATTCTCAAGGAGAGTTTCACTGCTGCCTTCTGGGGGGCCAAACTTTTGTAGAGGTTTTGTAGAGATTTAGTATTCAAAGTGCTGTAATATTCTGTTCCTCATTCAGATGAAAAACAAAGTCCAAAATTTCCTGGGGAATCGCATTCTTAAAAATAACGTCAGACCAAATGCAGAGAGCTATTGCAATAACACTTGAAATCTTTTTTACATTTCAACGTTAAACCTTCTGGATAATGCAGAGATGAGCCTGAAGTGATGGGGTTTTCACAAGCAAAAATTGCAAGTACTGCAAAATCAGAATGGAGCCCAATGGCATTATTGAAATGTTTGTGTCTTTCTCGTGGTGAAAATTCATTGTTAGCGTCTTTCATGTTTGACAGAACTGCATTTTTCTGAAGGAAAAATATTCCACCGGGAAATTCTAGTGCTAATATGGGTGTAAGTAGCAGGCTGCCTATTTTTTTATTTTTATTTTTATTCTCAAAGAATTCCCACTGTGGTTCTGAAGTCGGTGGATATTTCTTCTGAAAACAGGGCTCTGGAGAGAGATATTTTTCAAACCAAGTCCCCCCTCCCCCAAGTGGCAGTAGGATCTAGCTCTGTGGATTCATTATGTACTGTTAAGCAGCTGCCACATTTCACTCCAGCAACAGTTGTACTTCATTTATGAGCAAAATGATTCATATGTGAATATGGCAAAAGTGCTGCAGCTCGTGGTGAATTTGCACTGAGGAGCAGCTCGTGGGTGAGGATTGGGTAAAAACAGATGCTGAAGTAGGACTTTGTTACTTGCCTGATAGTTTTTGCTGTCATAAAAGTTTATGTTTTAGAAGGGCAGGTCCTGCCAGAAATAGGAGTGCATAAACACAGAGCAAAGGAGCTTGTTTATGACTAATATTAATCATAGCTCCCCTGCATTTGTGTAAGAGAAGCAAATAAATGGTAACACTTGACCTATATACAAAATTATGAATGAGGAAATGAAATGGATTGATAGTATTCTTACATTAGTCCCATAATGCAAAAACAGTGGGATGCCCAATCACTGCAACAAATGTGACAATGATTGAAGGATGATTCCTCTTTTACACAAAACCTATTTGTGTTCACTACCCTGGAAAATTTCCCAGCCTGTTTCTTTTATTTACCGTGGTGTAAATTAGGAGCCTTTCTGCTAAAAAGAGTGTGATCTTCACAGGGGTAAGAGCAGCAGAAGTAAGAAATTAAGGCATATGTCTGAAGCATTGCAAAAAATAACAGTCTTCATACTTCAGTGCAGAAGCTCTGTGGGTGGAGTGAGGAGAGTTCCCTTCCTTAAGGCCAAGGCTTCCACTAGTACTTGGGCAAAGTTGTGCAGTTCCTCCCCAGACAGCCTTGGAAAACAATGCCAAACTGCACTTCAGACATGCTGCTGGCTACTGTGCTGCTTTCAGCTCATCTTTACAGTGGCTGGTGTGGGGCTATAGTTTGGATTTGTGCTGAAACCAGTGCTGATAGCAGAGAGATGTTTTTGTTATTGTTCAGCAGTGCTTGCACACAGTCGAGGCCTTTTCTGCTCCTCACCCCAGCCAGCAGTGAGGGGCTGGGGGTGCACAAGGAGCTGGGAGGGGACAGAGCCAGGACAGCTGACCCCCACTGACCAAAGGGACATTCCACACCACAGGGAGCCATGTTCAGCATATAAAGCTGGGGGAAGAAGGAGGAAGGGGGGGATATTTGGAGTTTCTGATTTCCCCAGTAACTGCTGTGTGTGATGGAACCTCTCTTTCCAGGAGGTAGCTGAACACCTGCCTGCCCTTGGGAAGCAGGGAATTCATTCCTTGTTGTGCCTTCCTTGTGCACATGGCTTTTCCTCTGCCTTTTGAGGTGTCTTGTGCTCAGCCCATGAGTTTTTTCACTTTTACTCTTCCTGATCTCATGGTGGGGGGGTGAGTGAACTCACAGCAGACCATGACGTCCATCCAGGAGAACAGTCTACCTTCAGGAAAGCCAGGCAAAGAGGACATACATGTGTTTAGTTTAAAATCTGTTTTAAAAGGGCCCCTGTGTGGTACAATTTTTTTATGTGTTTTTATCCCAGGGTAGAGAGGAATAAAGATTCAATAAATTCCGAAAATCTGCGGTGCCAGCTGAGACCCCACAAGCCATGTTGGCTTCATGGAAAACCTGGGTTCAACAGCACTTTTTGGTATTTGCCCTCTGGTGCCAGTACCCAGTGAAAGAGGAAGTCTGAAGTAATGGTGCTCTCCTTTATTTGGGCTTTACCAGCCTTGAGGTGGTGACTCCCAGCACAGAAGGAGTTTTGATTTTTCAGTGATCCAACTACCCTTAGATGGATTCATATCCCTACTCTGCAAAAGCAAACTTTAAGTCAGGGGAATTGTTGGCAATTGTTGCCAACCACAAGAGTGGTACCTCACAGGGTACCACTGGAAGAAAATACCCCTGCTCTCCCCATGCACAGCCCTGTGCTTTTTACTCAAATCCTTCTCTTTTTTCATTTTTTTTTTTTTTTCTTGCAGGTTTCCACAGACACTTAGGATAGGAAATAATCCCAAGGCTCATTACTACATATAAATCCCTCAGCCTTCTGGGTTTCCTTCTCTGGAGCCACTGCGAAAATGGACACATCAATACAGCCTTCTGCAGAAAAGCTGACAATCTCAAAATGGGCTCATGCTGCAAAAACTGAAATCTCCTGCCAGGTGGGTGATGGGGCTTTCTAATCAACTTTGCAATGAATATTTCTTAAATCATGTTAATCCACCATTTAAGCAGAGATATCAGTTCCAGACAATGAATCTCCATACCTGGAGGGGGATATACCTGCAGTTTCCCCAGAGAGGAGGCGATTAACAGCCGTGTGCTGTCAGATGAGCCAGCAGCTATGGCATTTATCACCTCACAGCTCCTTTGCTGCAATGAAGGAAATCTTTGCTCCCTGCTTCTGGTGCAATCAGCTTTTATTTATGTAGTGGTTAGGGAAAACAGCTCTTAAAGGAAAACTGCACCTGTTTTGCCCTCTGAGGCAGCGTTTGCTCTAATTTACATGGATGTGTTTCCTATTAGAGCTTGCTAAATGCTGGGATCTCGTGAGGAAATGAAAGCCCTTAAATACGAGCAGGCAGAGTGCAGTACCCAGCTTTCAGACCCACAGAACTATAGTAAACACTGATGAAGATGAGCTGTCTTTTTCATGAGCACTTTTATGTTCTCATCTCCCACAGCTCCTAGGAGCCAGCTGCTATGTGAACTGTTAACATCCCAGCTCAAAGAGACTGCAGACCAAACAGAAAGTCTTGTTTGGGAAAATTCTTGAGCCCAAATGATTGGAGGATTACTTTGGATAAGTAAAGAACTCTGGATTGGTAAATTTTGCTGTTAATCCCCAAGATAAACTTCATGAACATTCACTGCAGAGTAACTTCACTTTTCATGAACAAGCTGTGGTAGCTAGAAAAAGAGAGGGTAATTTCTTGAGTCTTTGAGTTCCTCTCCAGCTCAAAGCAGACTGACTCCTGAGTTAGGTCATGCTGCTTATGTCCTTGTCCACGTGAGTATCTCCAAGGGTGGAGACGCTCCAGGCTCCCTGGGCACCTGTGCCTGGCCTGAGCCACTCTGCAGATCCTTTTTGCCTCCAGCCACGTGTCACTTTCCTTGCTGCTCCTTGTGGCTCTTGCCTCTGTCCATCTGCTCTGCACCTTCAAGAACAGCCTGTCTCCACCTGCTCTGGAACTTTTTGGATAGTGGGAGGGTGCAATTAGGTGTCCCTCCTGGCTGAGCAGACAAACTCTCTTGCTCTCTTCTCTCACACCCTGTGCTCCAGCCCCCTGACCATCCTGCTGGGTTTCTGCTGGACTTGCTGCACTTTCAGTGCCCCTCTTACACTGGGCAGCCCCAGATTTGGTACAGCTCTGCAGATATCATCCCAAAAGTACTGTGCAAAGGGGAAGGGTCCCCTGCCTTGACCCACTGTGGTGCAACTCGTACGGCCCAGGGTGCTGTTGGTTTGCTTTATTGCAAGGTTGCATCGTTGTCTCTTCAAACACGTGTTTCCAGGCTGTAGGAATACACTTAGGATTGCTGCCAGGGAATGTGTCCCTGAGAACATGCTGCCCACATTCCCTAGAATTTTGGGCCCCTTTAGGCTATCTCAGTTTTGTCTCCCAAAAATAAACATTTCCGTATTTTTGCTAGATACTGTTTAATTATTTGTCTTTGGGCTCTCGGATAATGGAGGTCAGTCCCCTCCTAAATAAAAGGTTAAGTTCTACTTTCTCTAAGTCCTGGAGGAAATGAGCTGCCCAAGTGAACTGATGTGGAATTTAAGTAAGAGCCCAGCATAAATGCTAACAGGCATTGGCCTAAAAATACCTGCTTCTTTTACTACTGCAGAAAGAATGACACGCACCTCTGATAACTTGTCTTGTGGTGAGTCCTGCCAGGCTGTGCCTGGATCCACAATGATTACTGCATTTCCTGGTGCTTTGGGGAGGAGGAAAACAGATGAGAGGTGCAAATAAACCTGTTTTCCCTAAGAATAACTGCAGCTAGCTGGCCACAGGACGCTGTCCACAAACGTAGGTGGATAGACAATTCACGGTACATGGCTAATAGAAATGTGTGCATATCTATGTCTACATATGTGTATCTTCATGGTGATATGTGTATGAAACTATTACAGCCAAGCCAGATGGGTTGTTGAACTTCAATTTGCTTACGTTTACTCAAGGCGTGGCAAGAGCCACCCTATAAAGGAGAGCAGGGACAGTGCCAGCCCCTGGGTCTCTGTTGGTGTTGGCTGGAGTGACGCTGGAGGCACTGCAGGTAAAAAACACCCCTTTGCTGTTTTATTTAGCACAAGATGAAGCAGGTGAAATAGGAGTTAATAGGGCTGGAAAAGCACCACAGACACATTGAGAGGGATTTGCCTTGGAGAGATGGAATAAATTAAGAGTCCCTATCCTTAATGTTACCTGGAGGGAAAGAAAAGACGAATTTGCCATCCTAGAAAGAGTCTCCTTTGTAAAACGGTAAGTTGTCAGAAGTAATTGGATCAAGTGGGAGCAGAGATTCTAAGATGAGGAGGACGCTATAGTTACTGTAGGCTGCTGTTAAATGAGGTAGAAAAAAGGTATCTGGAACTGTCCTATGCTGTGTATGCAAAACGAGAAGAAAATTGACTTAATAAATAGCCAGAAGGGAGTACTTCACAGGCTGTTTGGAGCAGAAGGTCGTGCAAGATGCCACTGGAAAAGTAATCTCCTGGAGGGTTGCCAGAGTGCCTGGCTTTGGTTTTGATTTTCTGTGGTACTCAAGGCTTTTGCACATGGTGTGTACAAGGAGCTGCTGTCCATCTGGGGTTTGGGATGCCCACATTCTGGTCCCTGAACTGCCTCCTCAGCTTTCTGTCTCTGCAGGAGGCTGCTGACTCTCATTTGTTTTGTCCTCTGAATGCTAGGAGAGATAATATACTCACACTTTCCTTCATTACAAGATAATCCTGCAACTGACTCCCTGAAGTTTTTTAAATGCTTCAAGTATGTGAATGACAGGATCTTAGAGGAAAGAATGCTGGCATTACTGTAGCATATATTGAATATTATGGGGAGATGAAATAAATGTAGCTCAATAGTTTGGAATGTTTGAGAGGAAACGGGAAGAAGGGCTGCTGGCTTTTCAACTCTTCTGGTACTCTTTGTTGTGTTTGAGAAAATTAGTTGCTCTTTCTAAAGTATAGAAATTCACCTAAGCCAATATATAATAGAAATGTTTTGAGAAAATCAGTGGAGAAGAGAAGGTTCAGCTATGAAGTACACGTGGTTTCTAATTGCCTATTTCTACTTTCTACTCCATGAAAAATACCAAAGCCATTGAAGGAAATGATGTCTGTACTGTGACATAAATCTTTATGTGAAGTGTAATTAGCTGTCAGTAGCATTTGCCACCATTGAGTACCTGATTATAGTGGTGGCTTGACATCTTTCCTGAATGAGAGCTGGAGGGAGACAGGACACACCTTCACTGCTGCCTTTTAAGCTGTTCAGTGCAGAGAATGGTGGCTGCTTGGGGTTCCCTCATGGATTTCTGCAGGAGTCATCAACCTTTTTGCCCTGCTATGCTCAGAGACTCCTCTTTCCTTCCCATCCCTTCCAACTGCATCACTTGATCTCTTTTTATCCTTCTCCACATAGATTTTCCTCTGCTTACCTTCTCTCCCTCCTTCTTTGCTGTTTGTCCCTTCCTCAGGGGCAGGCAACACGGATGTCCCTCTGCTGAGAAGGAAAAGGAACCAAAAAAGAGCAGCAGGTACAAAGTTGGGTGTGATGTGTGATTCCCTTCTCCATTTCAGATAAGTAAGAGTGTTGAAGGAGATAGCAGGATTAGGTAAATGTTTGTTTAGCCCCTCCTGAATGCTTACCCCTTTCTGAATAATAATTTCTTTCCTTAGTTGAGTGGCAGCCTCTTTGCTTTTCTTTGGAGTTTGACAATATGTCTGAACCAGCTTTTGTGAGCGTTTGAAATCCCTCCCTCTTCTCCTTGCATCTTGTGGCAGGGAGCAGTCCAAGGGAAAATTATTTTTTACAATCATTCCATTGTAACTCTGTCCCTTGAAAGCCTTTCTGGCTCTTGAGGCCAGTAGCAGCAAGAAGCTCCCCAACCAAGCAGGTAATACTCAGATTTAACAACTTTTGCGATCTTTGCTGTTGCTGACGGACCCGTGAGAGCCACGTGGGAGAGCTGTGGCCAGGGTTCAGGATGCTGCTCCAAAAGAAGTGGCCATCTGAGCGTGTTGGAGCAGCCAGGGCACTGCTAGCCAGCTCCTGACCCCATGAGCTGCCTGCAGAGGGGCATGGGTGGGTGTAGAACTCGTGTGTCTGTGCTGATGAAGATATTCCTGCAAGGGAATAGTTTTTAAGTGTGTTATTTTCCTCAGTCTGGTAGCTAATTTAATCCCGATACGTTAAACAACGTAATTAAACACACACACACACACACGCTAAAAACTCTTGTTCTCTGTCAGAAGAGAGGGAACGCGTGTCAGACCCAGCCTTCAAGCTCTGTTAATTTTAATTTGAGTTTTGGAATTAGTAATCAGTTTTGCTGGAACACTGTTTCAAGAAATAGATCTTAGCATGCACGGAGCCTGGGCACAGTTTCAAATGAGTATTTGTTAAGAAGCCATTCCCTTGTCGTGTTATGGTACATTAAAAGAGATTTATTTCCATTGTATTAAAAAATGCAAACCCAAGGGGAATGCTCTCTCTTCTTGTTGGCCGAGGGTGGTTTTGGATTTTTTTTTGTGGGGCTTTTAATTAAAACAATGAAATGCAAACCCACTTATTTGTTTAGGCTGTTGTTACCATGCCAGGAGGATAAGTGACTTGAAGCACCGAGAAAGGTGATGAGACTGAGTAAAAAGGGTGTAGGGAGGGAAGTGGGGGGCTCACACCTGAAGGTGTCACACCTTCATTGTGGCCAAACTGTGTTTTTGACATGTGGGAAGAATTCACAATAAAAACCTGAGGCTTTGCTCTTACTGGAACCATCTGCTTTATTTATGCAGCATCAGGGACATCTCAGATCCACAGATAAGTTTGTTTGGTAGAAAAGAGCCCTTTCATCTACAAAAAAATTAAGCACCACCAACAACAAAAAAATCTAACAAGCAAACCAAACCAACCAACCAGAAGAACTATGGCATCTGGTTACTGCAAAATGAAACTAGGTGACTTCAGGCTAGAAAACAGCACAGCAAAATTAATTAACTGTAGATGAGGCTTGCCCAGGGCATGTGGTGGATTTTCCAGTGCTAGTTTATGAGAAGGTACATCTTAAGTGGAAGCCAGCAAGTGGGGGCAGGAATCCCTGGATCAAGTGTGGTGGCATCTATAAAGGAAGATGTCAGAAGAGGATCACAGCGATTCTTCCTTTAAAAGTCTGCTGGTAAGGGGCTTCTCTTTTCATAAGGAAAGAGGCAAAAGGGGAAATATATCTCAGGATAGTTAGTACTTTGGTTTTGTGAGGGAAAATGGGAATGAAGAATGTAAACTGCTGTGGACCCTGAATCACATTTTTATCCAGCAACATGTAATTTTGTGTGACAATAGGAGCTGAAGGAACCAGGAGCCAAGGCAGGCTGCACAACCTTCCTGCTACATCTCTGAACCCTGAAACCACCACAGAACCTTTCAGCTGAAGGGAGATCCCCAGGAAGTGGTGCCCAGGTGTCTGGACATCCATGTGGCTCTGGGGAGCACACCTCAAAACTTGTGCTCTGGTTGGACAGAACAAATTGCTTTCTTTAAGCTCCAGTGCCACTAGCCCCTCCAAATGTGCAGCTTTCCATCTTTCTTTTGCCCTTCTCCCACTCCTGTCCTCAAAGCTCTCCCATCCCACAGTCCAGTGTCTCCATGGAAGATGAACTTACCTCCCCTTGGAACAAAAGTAGATCTTTGATAGCAGGAATCCTCCTGTAGTTTTTGACACCTGTAAAGGGACAAAGCCCTCAACAGGAGATGTTGGCCCCTGTATCCATCCCTAGCTGTGCCAGCAGGTGTATTAACACGTCTGTTCAGTCCAGGGTTTCACGGCATGTATGAAATGTTCATTTTCTTAATTAAGGTGCCCCTTTCTGTTAGACACACTAACAGAGAGGGGTTCGGCCATGCTTTGGACTGGAATGCCATGCAATGACTTCCCAGTTTAAACAGCAACTTGAAATCCTGTGCCCTGGGCACAGCTGTGATACCTGACCAAAAGAGTCCTGTGGGCATCGTCCCTGCTCACACTCCCACTCCCCTGCAGCTCCTGTTCCCTCCCCTGTGCTCCTTTTTATTGCAGCTGTACCTCAGTGCTCACGCAGCAGCTCACTAACAGCTTTGCTCTGTCCTCAGGGAAGACTCCAAATTGAATTTGTAGCACTGACAGCACTGGTTTAAGATAAACCAGTTGGGATTTGACGACTGCTCTTTCCCCATGCATTTCCAGCTAATAAGGATTTTGTCACTGTGGCTGCCCTCGGTTTTGCAAGCTGCTGCTCCCCAGTCCTGCTGGTGGGAGGGGGAGGTGTTATCCCACACACTCCTGAAGCACCCCTGTGCATCGGGAGACTGATGGGAGTCCCTGTCTCTCCCTCACAGGAAAGGGGCACGATGCTCGCCCCCAGCTCCGCTCCGATCCCAGAGCAGGACTGGCAAACCACAGGAGCAACGGGAAGCCTCCAGAACCTGAAGAAATTTAACAGCCAGGACTTCAAAGAGCTGCGAGCCCTGTGCCTGAGCCAAGGGCTGCTCTTTGAGGATGCCACCTTCCCCGCTCACAGCAGCTCCATCGGTCCCAGCCTGCTCCCGGAGGAGAAGCTCTGGCAAATACAATGGAAGAGGCCAACGGTGAGTTCCACCAGCTGGGGTGTTTTGTGGCACTGCTGCTGAGTGGGAGCACTGATGGTCAGGGGCTAAAGGCCTCCACTCTGGGGTGGGAGGTCTGTGTTGAGCAGGAAAGCAGACATCACGGGGAACACTGGAAGCACTATTGCAAGGAGGGATGCTTGCTGTGGGATGTGTGGAGGGAAGATAACCTCTGCAACATTAATGATTTCATTAGGTACATTTTTGTAGGAAGTTTGCTTCCACCTGTGAATCTAACTAGAGCTGCTATTCCCACTTTGATCTGCTTCTAGAGGATTTTGTGCAAACCTGAAAAGTTGTTAAATTCTATTGAAGATCTCTGATTTCTGTGATCCAAGCGACTGACTCAGCAATACCTATTTTAAAGTAATTGGGACAAGGCAGGAGATGAAGTACGTTTGTGTGCTGATTCCCAGTTGCAATTTAATAGGCAGTTATCATCTGGCATATGGAAGTTTAGAATGGGAGGCGGAATCACATGCTCAGCTCTTTTATCCTAGGACCTAATTTAGGAAATCTTCCTGTGGTCCAAGAGCTCTGTACAGCACTGCTGTGTACCATTTGCTGCTGGTGCAGCTCCTGGATGAGCCACGTGCTGCCCTTTTTCTGGGTTTTGCTGAGCACACCACTAGTGCCTGGGGCCTTTGGCTTCCCTGGGCTGGGATGAACCAGCTCATCTCCCTGGAGGCAATGCCTCAGAGCATAGAGACAGTGACTGTGAGACTGTAAAGAGCCAGCACAAAACAACAGGAAAATGTTTCTGTGGATGGCAGATGCATGAGGGCAGTGAGGGTGTGCTGGACCTTGGCAGGGCAGTGGCCTTGGCACAGCAGCAGTGGAGGATGCAGCCAGCATGGATGTTGAAACTCAGGGATCCCAGAAGGGAAGCAGAGTAGCCAGGACAGCCTGCAGAGCTGCTAAATGTGGATGCCCACATGGAAAGGCTGGAAACACAGCACATGGATTGGTAGGTGTGGAGGTGCTGGGTGCAGATATTTGGGTGTCCTCTGTGCAGGTGCCATGAGGAGATCATTCTCTTCTGCAGAAGCTGCTCCTACCACAGGCTGAATGTCTGGGCTTCTCCTTAGGCAGTTTTCCTTCAAAGACTGTGTCTGGTGAGGGTGCAGGTGGTGCTGTGTTTTTTACACCAGCTCACTGCTTATGGGTTCACAGCAGGTGGGAATAATCTCTCTTGAAAGTTGGTTGTATTAGGAAAGTAACTAAAAATGCAAGGGAGAGGAGTTAGTTGCCTCTGTTTCCAGTCTGAGAGAGAAAAAATAGGATAACTAAGCATTAGACTCACAAAAGACAAACACAGATATTAGAAAGGACTCTCCAGGGGCATTTTAAAGTTGAATAAAGTGGAATAAAATGTTATGATACAGTTGTCTTAAGTACTAACACCCCTGTGCTTTTGCAGCACAGAAGTGTAGGACTTCAAAAGCATACAAAGTGACTTAGAAACCCAAATACCACTGATTTTGAGGTGCTGTGCTGTGGGATGAACATCTATCCTACTCTAATATCCTGAGAGTTATTTCATGTGCAAAGGGACTGATGTACCTTGCCAAAAGCAGAATCTGCTGCTGCTAGTGCTTGAAGTTTGTCAGGTGAGGCAGGTATTGGAGAATTCCCTTTTATTTTGATGAATCCATGAATACTAAGGTTGTGAATAAAAGTTTTTGTGCAATTCGTTTCAAAAATTTGCATATGTCCTTTCCATCCCAGCACTTTCCTTCTGAAGAATTTTTTTACAGCAGTCAACAATTTTCCAGAGTGTTTTTTCAGGAAGGAGCAGGATTGAAATCCTTGGCTTTTGAGACTGCTGACTCAACTGGGTCATCTGGAACAGAAACTCAAGGTTCCAGTGCTGAAGAAGGCCCCATTTTTTATTTTTTTTCCTCAGTTTAAGCAAAATTTTCACCTGTAGATGTCTCCCAACCATGCAGGCTTCACCTTGCCAGACAAGATGCAAGATAAAGGGCAGTGGCATCAGCTGCCTGAGGAGACCAACCAGAAATTCTCAAACATCACCACAGCAGCCATGCTGTGTCGTGGTGACATCCAAGTGTGGCCTCACTTTCCTGGCAGAATGAAGCAGGGGTAGAAGAAGTTGTTGAATCACAGTGTTTTATTTTAGTTTATGGAGCTGCAGATGTTTTGAGTGAGGGGTCTGGAAGCAAATAAAGCTGTGTTTGCATTTCCTATGTCCTTAAAGTCCAATGCTGTGACCAGCTGCCTCTGGGAGTTGGTCCCCTAGGAGGAAGAGGAGGAGGTAGTGGCGCCCCAAACATGAAGTTTTTCATTTGGACACCTTTCACCCATGCAGAAATGTTTGTACAATCTTTGTTTGTAGGCCACTGCAGTGCTAACTCTAAGGATTTGTGTTCCCAGGTGTTTAAGCTACCTAAACAACTCAGCCAAGAGATATCTATAATTTCCCCAAGAGGGACTGTTTCCTACCTGAATACATCTCCCAGAGAGTCAGTGCAGTTGTATCCTGCTGACAAATCATGACCAATTTAACCTATATCTGTGTTTTTCTCAGCCTCCACCATTAGCCCCCTCTGACATCGAAATAAATTTGTCTGGGATTGTACCTGTGACTGGCATCTTGGTTCTAAAAATCTCTTAGCCTCCATTTACTGTCATGCAGTATCTGGTTATTTAAGTGGTAGATAGCAATTATAACTGCTGTCTTTGTTCCAGATCCAACTGAGCAGTTGAGCAACATGCTGCTTTTATTTTACCTTGTACGTTGTCAAGAGAGTTGCCAGTTACACTCCGAGTTTGGAGCCTTCATATCTGGGGGTAATGTATAAAGTAGAGAGAAAACAGCTTTATTTCAGACAGTGACAGTCAGCAGTGACAGCCAGAAACACCTTTTTGACTTGGAAACTGGTCTTGTTTAGTATGCACATGCCTGAAAAGGGAGGGAAGGTGTATCAGGAGCACCAAGACAGCATTTGGAATGTCCCTTTTCCCATCTCTGCAGTAGTTACAGTTTCCCATCAGATGGGGACTGCTTCAGGCTGTGTTTGTGTCCCCAGGCCCTCAATCCATGGCCATTGGAACGTGCAACCTGTAACAGGGATTTTCCTGTGGTACTGCAAGCATTACTGGAGGTCAGGCTGAAGGTACCAAATACAGCAGGACCTCACAATTAACTATTCCTTTGGCTCACCAACAGTGTTGAGAAATGGAAAAGAAGTTCTATTTTAGACTGAATGAAGTATTTTCTATAGCTAGGCTTTTCTAAAGATCAATAAAAGGGAAATTCTCCGTGAAGAATTATGTCAGATTTTAAAAACTGAGATGCTCTTTTTAATATGTTCAGACCAATTCTTTTTCATTGCTTGCTGCTTTTCCTTCACACAAGCTATTGATTGGAACTGAGGAAGCCATGAAATGATTAACTGCTGTGGAATATGCATTTTTATTCAATTAATGTTTAGGATAAAGATTTCTCTCTGTTCTGATCATAGTGCATAATACTGTGCAGATGCAAAAAGAGATTGAAGGAGGATGGTCCAGATGATCTGAATTGTGGTGATGCTAAATGTGGAATGCTTTACTTCTGCTAACACTGGTTATATTTTCAGATATGATATGTGTGAGGGGAGAGAGATTACCACTCGTGCAGCAGTGCCTTGGCCCTGCACTGGGGATAGCACTGTGCTCAGTATGGTGCCTATTGTATATGTGAAGGATAGTCTGTGATCTTCAGTGGTCTTTATGCTTTAAAAGAAGGCTAAAATGGGCACAGGGTGAAGTTGCTGAAGGCTTTTCTGAAGGATCTTCAAGGCTGCAGACTGCTGCTCCTGCCCTGCTCACCCTTGGTCTCTTGGGGACCCTGTAGCTCCCTTATGGAATGAGGGGATGCTGGCATAAGAAGATCTGTTCTCTGATTAGCATGGACAGTTACATGTGGGGGCAGCTGGAAGAAAAGCTGCAATGTGGCCAGTGGAAGTTTGAGGATCAGCACGGGAGGAATCCCTGAGTGCCTCTAATGTGACTTGTGGGGATGTGGATGGTGACAGGACTGTCTGAAAGAGCTGACACGGGCTCTGTCTGCACCATCGGTCCCTTCAGAGCATCAGGGCACGGACTCCTCGGGTGTTGTCCCAGGTGCCTGGGGTCAGCTGATGAGAAAGGTGGTGTCCAAAAGAATTCCTTGGATGGAAGGTGCAGGAAGAAGCCGTGTGAACTCAGGCAAGGAATACACCTAGTTGTCATACCAGAGCCCTGTGCTACTGCACTCAGCGCCTAAAAATCATAGGAGAAAATTAAACACATTGAGCCAATGTCTGTTAGCTGGGAAAAGTGTTCCATCATTTCAATCACTCACTTTGTGAAAGGGCTTGCTCATGTTTTTAATTCCCTTTCTCTGTCCCTTCCCAAGTAAAACATAACCACCTTCCAGGAGCAGAATATCTATTGTTATCCTCCATAGCTTTTGGTGATTATTTGTCCCTTTGCCTGTTATTTATTTCCCAGAAATTTACAAGAATTAGCATCGGCATTAAGGAATTTTGAATCCAGCAACTAGCTTAAAAAAATGGACCCTTTAAAAAATTATTTTGAATTTAGCATCTTTCTAGACAGATAAGCTGAGCTGGATTTCCTACTGCCTCAGCCTTGGCCTGTCTGTAGCTGGAGGGGACAAAAACCCAGATTTCATTCAGGCAAGAATTTAGACAGCAATTTGAAGTTAACCCAAAATCTTGTCTCTAAAAGAAGAGGAGAAAAAGGAAGAAAAACCTACAAAAAGCAAGCAGGAGAGGAAAAAGAAATGCAGGTTGTCACACGAGCTGCTTTAATGAGGCAAGCTGCGGGAGATGTGTGGCAGCGAGGGATAGCGGTGTCCTGCAGGTCTGTCACTCTGGGGCCAGTCCCTGGCGTGAGCCAAAGCTGCTCACCAGCTGTTTGTGGTGGAGTTCACAGCTCCAGTCTTCTCCAGGGGCCAGGAGGCTCTTGGATCCTGTTCAGTGTTTCTCCGTGATGAAAATCAAAATCAATGCGCCCTGTTCAGTCTGAGTGTGCGTGTGCAATCAGTGTAATTGAAGGGGAGCAGCATCCCCAGGCTGCCATTGTCTCAGCCCTTGCCTGCTCAGCTGATTGCGCCTGACCTCGACTCAGAGTTCATCCCTGTGGGCTGGGGAAGCTGCAGTGCATCACCAGCCATCACATCTGTCCTTCTGGAAGATGGAAAATGTTTATTTGTGTAGCATTTCCTGACTCCACTGGATAGAGCAGATTGTGAGGGGGAATTTGTGCAGCCTAGGTGGATTGGAAAGCAGCGCTGCTGTGATGGTCTGCTGACTGCCCTGCTTCCCTGTTTCTCAGGCTGGGGGGGTCTCAGGCAGGATTATATGGCTGTGTTGGCTGGAGGGTAGCTGCTAACACCGTGGAACTTCCAGCTTTTACTGTATGATCCCAAGGAGAGGTTCCAAGACCTCTAAGGAAACTGCCTCTCAAAGGCTCCAGGTACGCAGGGCTGCTTCCCTTGTTCACCTCCTTTGTCTTTGCCTCCTTTGTTTTAGTAATGAGCCACACAAAGCAAATGGGTTTCAGGTAAAATCTGAGCTGCTTTCTGGTTTTGTCTGGTTGTTGACATCAGTCCATCCTCCAGCAGGACTTCGCTTTCATATTTGTGGGCTCCACACCTGTGTGAACTCATTCTTCCAATGTAAAACAGAGCTGGAGCAGAACATGGCTTTTATAAGCAACCAGTACATTTGTATTGAAATCAGGCAATTAAGAATTGAGCTATTCTGCTGTAATTTTCTGCAGGGAATTGAGTTCTGTCAGTGCAAGCAAACCCCTTGAGAGCAGTCTGTTTTTTCCTATTAATTTTGGCTTGCTCAGTTATCCTCCCTCTCTGATCTGTCGGAGACAAGTCATTGCATGTCAGACCTTTGGTGTGGCCCAGCACAGCTTATATTGTGTGAGTTGGAAAAGACCTTTAAAATCATAGAGTCCAGCCATTAACCCAGCACTGCCAAGCCACCATGTCCTCCAGTTCCACATCTACATGTCTTTTAAATACCTTCAGGGAGGTGACTCTACCACCTCTGTGGGCAGCCTGTTCCAATGCTTGGCCACCCTTTCAGTGAATGAGTTTTTCCTAATATCCAAGATGAACCTGCCCTGGCACAACCTGAAGCCATCTCCTCTTCTGCAGCTTATTACCTGGGAGCAGAGACTCTGTAGCTCCTACCTGGCTACCACCCCCTTTTTAGAAAGATGTAGAGTCACCCCTCTGAGCCTCCTTTTCTTCAGGCTAAAAAAAACCAGCTCACTCATCCACTTCTCACACCACCCTCCACTAACTTTCCCTTTGTTCTGCCCTCTCTTGTTATTCCAACTGTCTTTTTTCTGTGGAGGTTTCCTGTGGTTATGGGATGTATGACAGTGGTGTGAGTGACCCCTCCTCAGCACACTGCTGGGCAGGGCCTTCAGCCCAGGGAACTGTAGTACCATATTTATTTCTTAATCCACAGCAACACTATTACAGGCACAGCAGTGCAGCTGAATTAACATTTGTCCAGCTGAGAACAGTTTGGCTCTCAATAAATAGAAGCCTTTTTATTTGTCATAACTTTGTGTGTGTTGAACAGGGAGCACCATGACTCACGATGGCAGGATCATGTGTAAGGGTGGCAGGGCTGCAGCAGCAGGGAGCAACACAAGTGTAGCTGAAGGGAAGGATGAGGACCTGTAGCAGGACCAGAAACAGGGTTGGGGTTTTATTTTAGGGTTAAGGTGAAACGACCAGGGGGTGGTTCTGCAAACAGTCAGCTCCAGCCTCTTAACCCTGAGTGGCCTTGTGCCTGCACTAAGGATCATGCTGGGCCAGTGGGAAAATGTGTGGGAAAGTGGCCAGCACCCAACCAGAGCAGCCTGCAGCCAGACTGGCTTACACTGCCTGGGAAATCCCAGGCTTCCAATTTTTCACAGAACTGTTTGACTGTGTCCTTTGCATGTCTGCACGTGATCTACAGCTACACTACTCACCTCCAGCTCCTTCTGGGGACTTGTTCTTCCCTAAAAGTTTCAAGCAATTATAAAAAGAGATTTAGAGACAAATGCATGTATAGGACACTTTCCTTCCACCTCTCAGATTAATTCTCTGTCTTGCTCTTTAGATGAACAGCACTTCTGTGGTAAGACCATGCTCTAGAGGATGGACCGGTTTGAACTTGAACTCTTTTCTCTTGAATACATAATGAAGCCTTCAGTAGGCCAGGGAAAGCGAGTGGTGAGAGCTTTGTCCTGGGGGATGAGTTCAGGCAGAGTGCTTGACTTGTAGCCCATATGGTTGCCTTCACTTCTGGGCTCATAGGTTCTCTGAGAAGAGACTGCATATGCCTCCCTGAGCTCCCTCTTCTTTCCCCCTCCAGCTAAAACTGAAAAGTCTTGGTGAAAATGCCACAGAACCTCATTATTTCTCAGTGAAACAGGGCACTGCTTCTGGATAAGACTTAGAGTTAAAGCTGTGGTTTCTCTCTTTGTCATGCAAGTCGAGCAGTAGGAAATAGTGAGGCTTGCACATTTTGTGTAGCAGTAACTACGTGTTTAGCTGTGCTGTGCAATAATGGACAATATGGTGTTTTATGACTGCTGTATTCTTGCCTTTGAAGGAAGAGGAGCTAATTGGAGACTTCCTTTTCTCCCGGTTGAAAAGGTCCAGATTTCCAGAGCACTGCACCCATCACAGTGCTGTGTCAGAAGCCCTCTGTGGGTTCAGACAGCTGCTGAGCAGCCCCTTCCCCTGGCTAGTGGAAACAACACACTCTGTACTGTGTCTCAGTTATTGCCCTGGAACCTGTGGGGAGTGCAGACTCCTGGAAGCAGCGCTCCGTGTGCTGTGGGTGATGGGGAACACAGCCCTGGGGTGTTCCCTCTGACAGCCACAGAGATGTCTGTGTGCACAGTTGAGGCGTGCTGGCTGGGGCTGACTTCAGATTATGTCTTTTCTGGTTTTGGACTAAGTTGCCAGTTTGTCTCAGCAAGGAACCTGCTTAATGACTCAGCTCATCCCTGTTTGCTCACTGGGGAGTCAAAAACCTTGGTGGGCAATAGAATATTTGGTGAGGCGTCTAATGGGCTGACTTTTCAGCCAGCTCCCACAACAGGCTAGCAGGATCCACAGAGCACTTATAAGCTTTAGCATCCTGGCACATCGGCCTTTTCCTTGGGGATCCCATAAAGATACAGCTGCCTTCCCATTTGTTTCAGGCTCATGCTTCTGGATGGTGCTTACCCCTATGGCAGCTATGCACTGTAGCCCAGCCACCCTGCTTCTGGCAACTCAGACTTCAAAGCCCTCAGAAATGATGAGGGAAACAAAAATACCCATTCCTTTATGCTGTTGGTTTTTTGGGATGTCTGCTAGCAAGTCAGACACACAGACAAGGAAGGGCAAGTGCAAAGCCTTGCCATGCAGTTTAATCTTTCCTGCTTGTGGAAAGCTTTGATTTCACCCAGGTGAGGGGCACAAACTGCTATGGGAAATGGAGGTAGGGAGAGGATAAAGCTGGGATGGATAAAGATAAAGATAAGATAAAGATAAGATGATAAAGACCAGAAGGGAGAAGGGCTCAGTGCTGCTTCTTCCTTATACAGTGAGCAACCACTGCTGATGGTGGCCACATGTCTGAGGCCTGCTCCCATGCCATGGGTAAATCTCTTGCTGGAAATCCCCAGAGTCCTGGCATAGGTGGGGATGGCTGTAGGAAAGCATTTCTCAAGGAATTTTCCTGCCAAAGCTGCTTTCCCCACATCAGCAGCACTGTGGGAGCATGATCTGCCCACCAGCCTGGAGCAGTGACGTTGCATTGCATTTTTCCCTGACAGGGAAACTTTTTAGAGGGGTTTGATCACTGTGAAGCCATTTCAGAAAGCTGACAGTATTTGCTAATGCTGAGCTCACGCAGCCGTGCAAGTCATGAGTCACATTGTAAGCTGGTGGCATTTTTGTGCACCATGTCGGATCATCTGGGGAGAAGGAATGCCAGGGCCTGTTCAGGGAAGGGCTGCTGTATTATTTTTCTTACCAGGACTTTTTTTTCCTCCTTTTATCTCTTTGTTTTCTTACCTTTGTGATGACTTGCCTATTTCAGGCTGATTGCTCTTTCAAAACAGAGCCTTAGATGATGGAGAGTGCCAAGGGTTACTGATGGGGGATGCTGAGGCCATTCCTTCCTGAGCACTCAGGTGTCCCAGGCCAATAGCAGACACAGCTGGGAGAATGGTTCACATTTCTGTGTGCAAAGCCAAGCTCTGAAGTGCTTCCCCCTTCACTGCCCAAGCAAGACTCTCAAGGAAAATTCTCCCTGAATCAAAAATGTCAGCCAGGCCTATGGGATTTTGCAGACAGAGATTAAGCTCTCTTTCTATATCTTCCTCACCAGAGTGAAGAGAAGCAGCCCAGGATGACCTGTATTAGACCTGAATGGAAACACAAAAGGCTCAGAGTGTAAAATGCTCCCAGACCCACTGCTGAGCTGAAGTATAGACTCTGTTCCACTTTGCTTGGAGACCTGTTTCTCTGCCCTGCTGTGCCCCAGGAAACTGCATGATTTTATTGCCAAGCTCAGAGCTCTCTCTGAAAGATGTCAGTAGCATTAGAGAAACCCAAATGAAAACTCAGGGAGCACGACCCCCAAGTCCCCATCCCTAGGAGTATCTGAGCAGATTAAAGAAAAGATGACTGAGTATCTCCTCTGATTTTGATGGTGGCAGGCAGCAAAACACCAGGGCTCAAGAAAAGCAGTTTTCAGATGTGGAAAAGATAGGCAAGGTCTTCAAGGGGCAAAACCACACTGCTGGCAAAAACTGGGTACTTACACTGTTCTTTGCATTTTCTTTCCTCCAGGAACTTCAAAGAAATCCTCATTTGATCATGGACGGAATTAGCAGATTTGATATCATGCAAGGAGAAATAGGTAAGGTGATATTCTTGATTTGGAAGAGATCTGCACAGAGCAATAACCTGTGAGTGCTTTGCCACATTCCAAGTGCTCACTGGGAAGATGTGGACCATGGTAGCTGCAGTAAACAATCAGTGCAGGTCAATCCAGACTGTCACAAGTCCACACACAACTTATTGCAGATATTTAACACGATTCCCAAATGCAGCAGCTCAAATCTTTGTTACTTTTGTCTGGCATCTGCCTTCTGTCTGTGTAAGGCCAAGCTTAGAAATGGAGATCCAGCTGAGATGAGGCAGATGCTTCAAGTACAAGGGTCAAACACAGCTAAGTGTAAGTAGGCACAGCTCCAATAGGTATAGGACTGAATTTTTCTTTCCATACTAATGTATTCATTTGACTGTCAGTGTTTTCTTTCCTGTGGAACTTTCTGTTCAACTCCTCTGATACTTACCTGGTATTAGAGTATGTATCTGCACCCTGTGTCAGTTCCATCCTGAACTCCTGGACCATGTTTGTCTTTAGAGACAGCTCTGCTCCCACGTAGGAAGAAATGCCTTCCCATTTCCCACTCCACTGAGAAGTTTGAAGGTTGCCTAAAGAGTGTTCTGGACAGCAAGTCTCAACATGACTGCAAAAGATAGGAGCGGCCTGAAAGTAGAAAAGGATGTCTGGGTGGCAGCAGGGTTCCCAGTGCACATTGCTGGTGAATCCTGGGTAGTGCTTCAGCATTTTGGAGGGGCAAAAGGAAACAGAAGAATGTTGATTGCTTTTAGCAAAGTGGTTCTTAGATGTTGCAGCCCATTCTCTTTCTAAAGAGTCAGCTGTGATCCAGAACAGCAAGTAACTGACTGAATGCGCTGGATTCTTCCCTCCCCTGAGGTGACTGCTGGATGCTGGCTGCTCTGGGCTCCCTGACACTGAGAAAACAATTTTTGGAAAATGTTTTACCAAAGGACCAAGGATTCCAGGATGATTATGCTGGGATTTTTCATTTCCGGGTACGTATTCCCTGTGGTATTGGTACCACTTGGGCTTGGCTGGTTGGACTGCAAAGGGGTCCAGGCTGCTGCCCCACATCTCAACATCCTTGAATGCTTTGGTTCTTCAGTGCTGACTCCCAGTTTGGAACTTTGCAGAAAATCTTGCATTTTTTTAATGATTCCTTGTGTTCCAGGTGGTGCAATTGCAATTCAGGGATTTTGATGCCCTCTTCTGAAAGTTATGACTGCAAAGGCAGCTCTACCAGCTGTTCAGATCTATTTGTGTACATATATGTTTTAGATGGCATTCTGGTGGCTGCTTTGATTTGGGCAGTCTGTTATGTCTGTCATCTCACCTGCACTATCTATTTGGGCTCATTTTCTGTTTCCCCACTTCACCTTGCCCTTTTAGCTCGTTGAAATGGCTGGAAATTACAAATCCTCAGAGGCAGATCAGAGGAACAGGCTTTTGATATTTTGAAAAGAGATTTGTTTCAGAGAAAGGAGCAAGGCTTTTTAGTAAATCTCACTTTCTACCAACTCCTAAAATTGTCTAAATCTCCCAGGAGGGTGACTCGGGTAGCAACTGGCAGCCTCTGCTTGCTTGTATCTGAGTCAAACAAATATCTGGTGGGATTAGAAGAGCTTACAGCACCATTAAACTCCAGAAGCTAAACTGGATGTGGAGAAAATCAGGATAAACTCAGCCATTCCTCATCCCCCCCCACCCTTATTTCACAAATCTCTTTTGTTTTATGCAGTTCAGCACCAAACAGAGCTTTGGCAGTGAAACTTCTTTGACCTCCTAGGCTCTTGTGGAGCAGCACCAGGAGGATTATCTTGTGGACAGTCTGAATTTTGTTCTGTTCCTTTGCTCCTTAGAATACCAGATGTTTCTATCTTGGCCCATTTCCAGCATACAGTGCCACACTATATGAGATAAAGCAGCTGAAGGGACACCAGTCTGCTTAAAACACATTAAAAGAGGATGCAAGCTGGATTGTCTTTCATGGAAGCTTTGAAAAGATTAGTTAGGCGCAATCCTTAAATCTTAAGTAGTATAAATACCTTACAGTATTTGAAAATGTTTTCCCTGTCATCTCATCTGCAAATCAATGCAACTGTTTCTGGCTTTCCTTGAGCAATAAACCCCTGAGGAAGCTCCTCTGAATGGAAATGCTTCTCTGCAATGCCTTTCAATTATTCTATCAAAGATATTTTACTGCCATCCACAGGCTAAGCCACCAGTGCTCAGTTCAGTGGAGAATGGCAAACAAGGCATATCATATGCTAATATAAAAATTTAACTTACAACTTTTTTCCCCACCATTTTGGAACTGGAACATGTTGCCTCTCAGGAACACAAGGGGCTGCTCCAGTGCTCCTGTACAGCACGAGCTGTTCAGCTGCAAGAGTCAAAGGTGTTAAGCACTTCATCAGCTGTAGTTAAGATGGGCAATGCTTTTATCTAGGAAATAATTACAGTGATGGTATTTCCCCAGGGATTAAGTTAGTCCCACGTTTGTACAGGAATCCCTTTCTCTGCCACAGACACTGTGGTGCCTATGAGGCAGTGTGTCACTCCTTGTGACAGTGAGGAGCAGCACCTCGACTTGGGAAAATAAAACAAAAGTATTCTCTGGGGGACTGCAGGGGGTTGTTGCACAGTCCATCAATTCAGCACTGGAAGGATCTGCCCTGGGTGCTAATGTCCCTGCTCTCAGAAAGAAACTAATTCAATCTTTAAAGACTATAAATGGTCAAGACCTCAGTTTCAGGAAACATCCAAAAAGTGCTTTTTAACACCATGCAAAAGGCTGGTGATAGTTGGTTGACATGCAATTTTCTCTTTACTTGATTCCAGAATTGGATTTTTCCAAGATCCCTGTCCAGGAAGATAAAAAGGAGGCAAAGTAACCACACAGCATTCTCCTTTTTACCATCAGGACCTTAGAGGTCTTGTTGTGATCTTGAGACTATCCATTTTTTTTTCTTCTCTTAAGCCCAGGAAAAAAAACTCCTGGTTTAAAAGGCTTATTATAAACCTGAAGAAGAACTTCCCTCTTTGCATCCTGCCTAAATAGCGATTCTTGGTTTTATTTACTACCACATTCACAGCTGCAGTACTAATCCCATAAAGGGATATAAAAAAATTTCATGAAGCCAGAATCAAGCCCAAAAGTGATCCTCTCTGAAAGCAGGAGAACGGCTTCTCCCGTACCGCTCTTGTACTTCCAGAGCACTCTAGGACTTCCCATGAAGTTTCTCTTTCCCTCTGCAGCTTTTCCTGTCTTTGTGAGCTCGGATGAGACCACCGTCTCAAAGTCTGTGGTAGTCAGGACAAAGCAGCTGTCTTTATGCAGCTGAAGAAAAACACAGTGCAGCATTCAGACAGCCTCCAAGCTTGAGCTCCCTACCAAACATGGCCAAAGGAGCTTGACTTTTGGAAAAACATCACTCAGTGGGTTTGGACTGCAGTAATCCCCACAGCAAGTTCTGTACATTCTCCTTGTTTACCTGCTGTGTTTGCACATGAAGCACTGTGGGGAGGTGTGGCTGGATGTCACACCTTTTCTCAACACAGACCTGCTCCTAGGTGTTGCCTGATGACAGAAAGGCTCCTTGGGTGACTGAAAGGACAGCTCCTTTTGGACAGTCCTTTTGCCTGTCTCTCCTTCGGGCAGAGGACAGCCAGTGGAAGCCTTTTCCTCAAGCCCCTTCCAGCCAAAATGAAGCAGAAGCTTCAGATCTCTCCTGGAGCTCATCTGAGAGGTTCCAACCCTGCCACCTCCTGCCACCACTAATGCAGCAAGGGAGAGGCCTGGGTGAGGCAGAACACAAGTAGGGTCAGACCTGCTTTCAGCTGAGCAGTCTGTAAGCTGCTTTGCTGCTGGGCAGATCTGGTCTTGTGCTTTTCTAGCAGAACAGCTCATTTTGGGTTTTTCATTGACCAAAGCTGTTGAAATAAAATCATGCTAGACTAAATCTATTGCTGGCATGCTTCCACTAGAGTCCTTAGCATTACTGCAAATAAGAGCTTGGCCTCTTATGATTTCGAATCATGCTAAGCTACATTAATCTGCTAATGACTCTGGAAATGGCTCCTTTAGTTCATCCCAGCAGATCTCTATTCCTGTCTTTTCCCTTGAAAAGTTTCATCAGTTGGATCAGCTGGAGAAACACCTGCTCTGTCCACATGCTGGAGAGACTGCCTGTGTCCTTCTCATCCATCAAGGAGATGGATAACACCTCAAAACACTCTTTAGTCACTGCACTGTCTCTGTCCATGACAGCATGTCAGAGTCTTAATTGAAATACAGAGGAAAGAAAATTTAGAGGCTGGATCTTGACAGAGGCTCTCTGGCCAAGAGCTGTGCAGGGAAAATCCAAGTGTGGCTGAGGAGTGAGGCTCATGGAATCCACCTGCGTGATTGTTCTTTATCTTCTTGAAATCTTTCTATCGCTCAAGAATGTTAGCATATTCCCTGTGTTGAATCTTTCCTCCTACTTATTGCCAGACTAGCTATACTCCCCAAGGACTTTCCCTGGCACTGGGAAATCCAGCCAGTTGGTAACTTGGTTAACAATGGGGACCACTAGCCTGAGGCAGTTCAGGAGAAAACTTGCACATATCCATGCTTTAGATTAATTCCTGTGCTGGTTCAGGGAGCTTTTTCTTTGCATGGACATTAGTGCTTGAAAGAGGTTTGTTATTTTATTTTATTTACTCTCTTTTTAAACTACATTTTTATTTTATTTATTTCCAGTTCTGGCAATATGGAGAATGGGTGGATGTAGTGATAGATGACCGGCTGCCATTCCTAAATGGAAGATACCTGTCTGTACATCCCCGAACTTCAAATGAATTCTGGCCATCCTTGCTGGAAAAAGCATATGCCAAGTAAATATGCCTGGTCTGTTCTGCCACCCAACACTGAATGCTTTCTGTGGTTGGTTTCACCCTCTGCTTTGTGCAAAGCACACAGGAAGGAGTTCAGGCTGACAGCTGCCTATGTGGTCCTGTCATTTATGCAAGGAGCTGTGGCTGCAGCCAACACAAACTGGAGATGTTTGCCTTGGGTTAGACCTAACTGTACGCAGCCCTGAAGGTAGCCAGCCCTAAATTTATGCAGTTCAGCTCTGGGATGTTAATGCCTGAGAAACAAAATTAGCAGGGCAATGGTTGGTGACACAAAAGGGCCTGGAATCTTCCTATTTTAGGCAAACTTCTTTGTCTCTGTTTTTCTTTCCACATTATTCTGTTTAAGACTGCAGAGTCTAAGCGGGGATTACCTGTGTTTACAGTCACTAATCAGAGATCATGTGGACATTTGGATCAGGCAATGAGAGGAAGCATGACTGAAGAACATGCCCAGGCACAGCACATGCACTCCTAGGACTCTCTGATCAGCTCTTACTTCACAAAGAGCTCTGACCCTTAGCTGAGGCCCCTGGAGTATGTGGGGTAAATAATGCCTAATAAAGAGATAACAATTTTTAAAAATCCTCTGGAAAGGGGATCAGACTGTGGTCCCTTGACATTTGCCCATTTCCCATTATTAAAAATGCTGAAGAAAAAGTCCTGTGTTATGGGTGGTATGAAGGGCTGGAACTTGGTACCTGATGCTGGTGTAACATCTGCAGTGCAGTGAAGTGGAGATGAAGAAAAGAGGAAATTTTGGCAGATTTGGTCAGGAATAAGGAAATGTTAAAGCGGCATGAGAGCAACTCAGGAAGAGAATGCATTTTGCCCTGAGATATCTCAGAAAAGTTGACTCAGGATTCAGTATCAATTTGCTGCAAAAGGTTTTAATTACAATGCATACCAAACCTCTATTAAATTAAAGTTGCAAGCAATGCCGTTTATGAGATTCCCATTTGAGAAGTTATTCCCCAGCGCCCAAGACAAATTCTTTTCATCAGTGTAGGACAAGGACAACTCTTCAAAATACAATTAGCTGCAGACTTCATTTGATTACATTCATTAAATACAGTGTCTATGGTGGGGTTTAACAGCATGCTCTACCTGCTCTAAGTACGGCATGTTCCAGCTTATTTGCTGTCTCAATAAAAACCACACGATAAAAACAACAAGGACCGTGTTGGCAATATTAAATTATTATCCTATTATTGTGCTCTAGCAGAGTGAACTGGGAACAGTGCTGAGAACTCGTTTCTGCCTTGCCCTGGAAGCATGGGTAAATACCTTCACCTGTCTTTTCCTTTTTCTCATTTGCAAAAGGAATACTGGCCATTTTTGTGAAGAGTCCTGTATAACTATGATTCAGAAACTAACAGTTCAGCTCCATTTGACCTGAAACATCCATTTGAACTAGTCACTCTTGGCTCCCTTCCTGTTCAAAAAAAAACCCCCAAAAATGGATGCTTCAAGATGAGACGCAGCTCATCTCCCTGAAATGCTTGTGCTGGCATGAGATGCACCTTATTATTTTCCACTGTCTGTAAATGGCTCTGGACAGCTGCCTCAGATGGGGATGAATACATAGAAAAAGCTTTCCCTTTGTCTCGTTCCTTCCACAAGACATGTGCTGTGCCTGGCCAAGTATTTAGATCACGTTTCCTTTCATTACCTGGCCACAATGTCTGCACACCCCGGGCTCCCCTGGGCTCACCACCTCGATGCACACGCTCATTTTTAAAGCAAGCACTGTGCATTGTTTATGAAAACAGTGTAACGACTAATTAACTTCTCTCTTTTTTTTTTTTACTTTTTTCTTTTTGGTTTTTTTTTTTTTTATATTTTAAAATTTTTCCGTAGGCTGCGGGGCTCCTACCAGAACCTGAATGGAGGCTACCTTTCAGATGCTTTAGTAGACCTCACAGGTGGAGTCCAAGTGCAGTTTTCATTGAAGGATCCACCTCCTGATCTGGAGGAGATCCTGAAAGCAGCTGACAAATCCCGGTGCCTCATGGGGTGCAGCACCTCAGGCCAGGTGAGTCACATGCCTGTCTCCATTTACTGTGTTGGCACAAAGGTGGCTCTTTGGAGGGGAAAAGGAAGTCCATAACCACTCTGTAAAATTTATGGGTTTATGGGTTTATGGGTGCCTGAAGGGATCTTGGCAGCAGAAAGTAACTAAGGTTTTCTGGTAAGGAATGTAAAGGCATTTGGGCAGATGTAGATGGATTGGTCTAATGGAGAGGGGGCTGTGGCATCTCTCCTGGCTAATTCCACTGCAATAGAGTGGTGTCCTCTTTCAGCAGGCCTGATTTCAGCCTCATAACTTTGTGATCAACACTGGCAAGGCCAAAACACACCTCTCTTCTGATGTAATGATTTCATTGTGGCTTGCAGGCTTACTGGTAATAAAGCAGGGAAGTTGCAAAAGTTTGTGATAGCGAGTACCTTTGATAAAATGTCTCCAAGGCTTCCCTTACAGCATGTGACATGTGACTGCAAAGTGTGTGACACTGCTCCTGTGGTGCCTACTTCCTCAGGACAGGAAGTTTCACTGCTGCAAACAAGCCAAAGACTATTCCCTCGGCTCAGGGAATAGGCTGAGAGTGGCAGGAAAATTTGGCAGTCCCCTAGTCTGACAGCAAGCCACCCAGTCCAGGTCATTCTGCAGTTGCAGCAGCTCTGGACCATGGAAGAATTTGCAAAGAAGTGTAGATTTGTTAAATTTCCTGCTTTGCTGATGGCTGCAGTGGGAACAGCCACGGTCCTGTGGAGTATCTCAGTATCTCACAGCAGTGCTGCTGTGAGGCTTTGTTTAGTGCCATGGCAAGTGACAGTGCTGGGAGCTGCTGACTGTGTCCTTACAGTGTGGCAGAGAGCTAAAAGCTGTGCTTTCTCCCTTCTGCAGTCAAGGAGAAACATAGAGCTGAGGAATGGGATTGTACAGGGTCATGCCTACACTGTCACAGGAGCTGTGAAGGTAAGATCAGAGACTTGTTCCTGCCTGGACATCTTGTACTGACCATCCACCACAGGGAAGTTGTGCTGCTGTTCCAGTCAGAGTGATCTGAATTAGCTTCACACTTAGGGGGCTTTGTTGAAAAGGACATAGTTCAAATTCCAAGAGATGAAGGACTCTGGCACAACGAAAGGAGGGAGGATATACGAATCCATATTGTTTTCTAATGGAAAATGCAACTTAAATTTACTTTTGTTTTGGGACACTTCAGCAGAAAATACAATGTTTCTGGAGATTTTCATTCCATGCTGACTCTTAAAAAATGTGCTTTTGTGTTTCAAATGTAAGTAGAAGCACTGCCTGAAATTGTGGGATTTGTCATGTGATGCAAATCTACATTTGTTCAGCTCAATCACAAGCTGCCAAAAATCACTGTGTGAAAAGTAAATCACTGGTTCAAGAACATTGTTTCTCCATCTTTTAAAGCTGCTGTACTCATGCAGAACTGCTCCTGGCTGAATATTAATACTGATGATCTGAGAACAAATTTATCACATGGATCAAAAGAAATTAAGGATTTTTTACAGCCAGAAGTCAGAACATGGCTTAGCCCAGTAAGCTGTAGTGCACACAGGGAGAGTTAACACTGAAGAGGGAAACCAAACAATAGCTATGCTGTCAAGCAAGATAGCTACAAAACATTTGAATCTTGGAACCTAAAGTACTTTGGAAAGGGGATGTTGCTTTCCCTAAGGTATTTTCTCCCTTATCTCTCTCTCTCTCTCTGTTGGTTTTCTCTATGAGCTTGGCTTTGGTTCATGTCCCCTCGTGCCATGGCATGCTTGGTGCTATCATCACAGCCAGTGTGCTGCTCCTTGGAGGACACATTCTTGTAGCTACTAAATGGAAAGATGGGGGTTGCCAAGCTCCAGAAAAGGCCCCAGCTGTCTCTTTGCAGGGCAGGGGCAGAAGGGTCCCTAATTCTGTTGGAGGAGAAGGCAGGCTGTTCCAGCCTCCTGCTGCTCCTGGTGTGTGCAGAGAGGAGGAACAGTCTTTGTCCCACTTAAAGAAGTGCCAAGACATCTGAGGCATTGTGCTAAAGGGAAATGATTAGAAGCTGGGCCTTTGCCTGGGAAGAGACTGCTGTGGTATTGTTTCCAACACCGCCTGTGTGCATAAGGAGAGCCCAAAAACAAAGGTTTGCTTCTCCTTTCCACTTCCACCATTTTGGCTTCACTGGCAAGAGTTAGTTGCTTCTGACTTAAATCAGTGGCAGCAAAAGGAGGAAAGCACCAGACACCCCAGCTGTTGCAAACCACAGTATTGTAGACACAGACCCACAGATTCTGTATATTGTCAGCTCTCTGTGCTGACTGTTGGCTTTCACTCCAGGTAGTCTGGTGACCTCGTTCCTCAAAGTCTCTGCCTTTGCTGACTCACAGCATCAGATGTGCAGAATTAGGCACTGGAATTTCCCAAGGCTCTTGAATTCATGCAGTGTGACAGGAATGCTGCTGCTTCTCTCTGTGTCAGCTATTCACTATCCTCAGGAAAGCAAAATGGGTGCAGTTTTCTCTCACACATCATTCCTTTGCAGTGTAGCAGAAGGCACTGATTTTTCGCTGCTGGGAAAATGAGATCAGATGTTAAATCGAGGAAGTTCCATTTTCTTACCCTTCTCTTCACTGAATATCACAATTGTGAAAAACTGTGACTTTGTTTTTCTTTCATCTTTACAGATCCCCTACAAGAATGGCTGGAAACATATCATCAGGATCTGGAATCCGTGGGGCCATGGGGAGTGGAAGGGGCCCTGGAGTGATGAGTAGGGTCTTAAGGCTTTAATGTCATAGGAAATCAATAACTTTTTATAAGAATTCTTTTATAAGAACCTCTTCCCCACACCCATTTTAACAAAACAGATATTTCCAAGTCATCTAATTAGAAGCATTATTTCCATCTGCATAGCGACTGCTTGCAGAAATACAGCCCAGGGAACACTAATGCAGACTTGCTAGGCTCAGGTGTTCCTTCTTGTCTGTGTATGCATTTTACCCAGTGCAAAATGCTACAGAAGTCATGGATGAAAGAGTTCTTATTTCCTGGAGTAAGCTCTGACCATGTCCTTAGATGCTGGCTGGCAGCTTCTGTGGAATTCTCTGCAGCAATCACACATCCACCTTTCTCCTGTTTCTCCTGCTCCCATGAGTCTGACTCTGGGAAGAGGATGGTTAGATGGGCCCATGGAGCAGGGCAGAATTGAACACAGAGGGACAGAAAGGCTCCCTGGTTATCCCAAAGGCAAAGTGCCAGGGAATGGCTTGAACTAATCTTTTGGATCCTTCATGCAGTTTTGGGGGGATGCAAGGACCACTTTGCTGCCTGTGTGGATAATCTAACATATTTTTCCTAGAGAAAGGAATGACATAGACTGCAAGAGTGTTTTGTAAATAAATAGATTGTAGTTTTCCTTTTGGAATTGCATCAGTGTTTCCATGATTAGAGAGATGTTCTTGTGACACTCTTAGGTTATTTAATAGCGTCCCAGCCCTCCCTGTTGCTAGGACCACACACAAGCACTCTGCTGAGAAAAGTCAGGCTGGAGTGCTGTGTCTGGAAGGGTTGTTGGGCTGTGCAGAGGTGCCTAAGGCTGGAATAGCTGCTCTCTGCTCTGGCAGCATCCTCCCATCCTTTTGCAAAGGTGAACTACAATCCTAAATGTAATTGAAATGTCAGTAGCACGTTCCCAGGTAACCTGCACAGATCAATAAATTATTGATTCACGTGCTGTTTATTTATCTTAAACTCTGCAGAAAGTACAATTATCACTTAATTATAAACACTCTGCTTGGAAACAACAAGTTTGACTGGGTAATGTGCTCTCTACAGGTCAGTGTAATATCAGTGCTTCAGAGCCCTGTGCTTGGTGCCTCACTAACCTCTCCAGCACGGGGACAGGTGACCAGGACAGCAGGGAGGGTTCCCCACCCCAGGGTGGGCAGCTCAGGCATAGCAAAGGCACAGAGTTTTATTTGCTGGCCTTGGCTATGAAGGTATCACACAGAGTCCTGTTTCCAATGAGCAGTTTGTTCACCCCTCCTGATCCCTCATGACCTGACAGGTTGGTTGGAGGAATAGGCCGAAGATGAAAAATTGTGCCTCACATCTTGTTGATCTGTTCTTTTTTGCAGCTCTCCTCAATGGGACCGTGTTGAGCCTAAATACAGAGAAGCCCTACTCAGAAATAAGGATGATGGAGAATTCTGGTATTTCCCTATTGTTCCTTTGCCTACTGGGTTTTCTGTTTGCCTTTATTATGAAAAAAGTAATTTTGGCAGATCTCTGTTCTTGGTAGTGGCTCAAGGCACCCTGTGTTAGCTGTGTGCAAACAGCTCATTGGAGATTGTCCTGACCCTGTGGTTTCAGAGGAAACAAGACCTGAAAAAATGGAGTTGGTCAAGATTAAGTGACAAGCTGATGAAAAAAAATTGAAAAGTGAGAGAAGTAAAAATCCAGCCCTCTGATGCCTGGTCATTTTGTCACACTGCCTCTCATAAAGTGTATGGTTTGAACCTTGGACTGACAGATGCTGAAAGGGACAGCTGGCTAAGCAGGTCACTCAGCTTGTGCACTTAACTTCTCTGCAGGTGCTTGTGGTTTTTCACTGCCTCTGATTGCTCTCAGATACAGCTTAGCCATGCGTGGGCTGTCCCTTAGAAAAACTGATTATTCAGAAAGTGCACACGTGCCCTGTGGGGCTCTGAGGAAAGCAGGGCAACAGCAGGTGGGTCTGAAATACACACTTGAGGCTTGAGTGAAGCATGAGCGTGGGACAGAACACTGTGGAGGTACAAAAGCTGGAGGTGGCAGGACAGGGCTCCAGCAAGATACCCCAAACGCGTCCTGTGGTTTACCCTGGGCATTAGGGACAGTCAGGGCAGCCCAAAATGCATTGAGAGCTGAGCTCTTCTGCAAGGTGTAGCAGCCACCTGAGCTGCAGGTGCCTGCAGTGCTCTCAGCAATCCCTTTTTAAAGGCATGGGGTGAATGTGGATACCTAACTGGTGTCTTCACAGAATCACAGGTCAGGCACAGGGTTGTGATGATTGTGGAATACTCCAGTGAGGGACACTCCTCAACCTCTCTGGGAAACATGTTCCAGCATGAAGTCAGTTGCACAGTAAAGAAATTCTTCCTCATATTCAGGTGGAACTTCCTGGGCACCAGTTTCTGCCCATTGCCTCTGATTCTATTGATTGGCATCACCAAGCAGAGCTTGATCCAGCCTCTGACACCCTCTCTTCAGATGCTGACATCGATGAGGTTCCCTCTCAGGGCTGAACAGCCCCAGCTCCCTCAGCCTTTCCTCAGAAGGGAGGTGCTCCAGTCCCTTGATCATCTTCATAGCCCTCCACTGGACCTGCTCCAGGAGCTCTGTGTCTCTCTCTTGTACTGAGGAGCCCAGAACTGGACACAGCACTCCAGATGTGCCTCACCAGGGCTGAGCAGAGGGCCAGGACCACCTCCCTCATCTCCTGGCAATTTTCTTCTGTCTTCAACTGAATGATGAGATTTTCCACCTTCTCTGCAGGATGTCCTGTGAGAACTTCCAGGAGGAGTTTTCATGGCTGTATATATGTAACAACACCCCAACATTTCTGGACTTTGGAGATGAGCACTACACAACGTGGTCTCTGAACAGCTACACCAGCCTGTGGAGCCCAGGCCTTCCCACGAGGAGGAACCGCTATTCCCAGGGTAATGGATGCTCAGTACCCGCTCATCTCCTCCTCTCACGGATGCTTACAGTGAAACATTCACTCTGAGCACCGAATTGCAGAAGTATTGATTGCCAGTTGTTAATGCCTGCCTTTCCCCATTACAGCACTTATCAGCTAAACAGGCAGAAACAAAGCAACAGCACTGGCTGCTGAGTTAAAACGGGAGACTTGTGATTTAGGAACCCTGGACTCTTTAAGTCAAAATGAGCTTGTAAATCTTCTTTCAGCCAGTTGCAGTAGGTGTTGCTGGGGACCTCATCAGAAAGTCTGGTCTGGCAAATATGCTGTTGATTTTACAGAGCAAAAAGTACTCTGAAATTAAATGGATATGGAATGAAAAAAATGTGCTACAAAGCTCTATTTTTTAAGGTAAAAAGGTCTTTGGGCTGATAAGACTGGTGGTTTTACTGCCTGTGCAAGAATTCTTCTGGCACTGTAAGCTTCAATCAGTAGTAGTATATTTTTACATTTTTATCTTATCTCACTTGTTTTTTTAGAGCTGCATCAGTATTTGGGCTTTGTGTTTTTAATCTAGGATGGTAATATCTGATCAGTGAAGAGGCTTGACTTCAAGAGCCTTGACCTAGCAGCAAACAGGTTTTGTCTTACAGATTTCAGGCCCCTGCTCCTATCCTGACCACCAGGTCTCAAGGTGTGGTAACAAAGCAATGCCTGTGCTGCTGCACACTGCAGTCACTGGGACTGGGCAGGGAGATGCAGGGGCTGAACTGAGAGTGTGCAGGCAGAGCCATTTTCCTTGGAGCTGTGTTTTCCAACAGCCCTCTAGTGAAGTCCCTGTCCAAGTACAATCGTTCTAATTTGCAACTTTCAGGGCCACCCAGCACAGGGAGCTGGCTTAAATTCTACTCTACTGCCATCTCAGTGCTTTTTTCCCAGTTTGGGCACTTCATTGTTTGTTTTTTTTTTTTAAACCAGGAATGCTTCCTGTTAATGCCTTGGCCAAGAAGCAGCTGTTTCCCTCTGGTGCTTGACATTCTGTCTGTCCATCACAAACATCAGCAGAGGGGGGGAGGAGAGAATAGCTTTGCACCATTTTGTCCTTTTCTGTGTGTTTAATCTCAAAGCCACAGTCCTTTTCAGCTCAGCCTCTGGTCAGGTGCCTGATTGTGAGCCACTGCTTTTCTGCTGCTGGGAAAGTGTGCCATGTAGGTGAAGCAGATTGGGGGGGGTTGAGAAATCCACACGACTTCTGTGACTTTGCCAGAGATTTCTAAAATGACAAATGTGCAATTAGTTTACCTCCAGATGCCTCAGCTTCTGGTGCTAGTGTGGAGACTCGAGTGCTCTGTTGTATTGAAAGGATCTTGGAGCAGTGACTGCCTGTTCCTCTGGGTCCACACATGCAGTATCTTACACAATAGGCTGGAACATCTCTGTGCCTGCTGTTAACCTATTAACACTTTCTCAGCAGGTGCAGCTTCAACAAACCCTCAGTATTTTTTCAGAGTTCTAGATCACAACCCAAAAACCTATAATGTAGCGATTTCACTCATGCAAAAACACGCTGAGCATGTGCAGGATGAAAAAAACCTGAAGATTGGCTTCTTCATCACCACGGTAAGCACAATCAGATGTCATGTAGGCACTGTTGTTCTCTGTGTGGTTTATTTTACCTGTATGTGGGAGTGAAAGACTGAATTGCCTTTTGGTCTTTTTAAAAGTCAGTATGTGGTGTGAATTTCTGGGTGCCTTCCATTGTAGAAACTCAGAGTAAAAATAGAGTCTAGCAGGCTTAGTTTCTTTTATTCATGTCTTAAGGAACAAAGGTGGCACGTTTATTTCTGTAGCACCCCAGAACAGCCCTGGGAAACTCAGGGAGTCCCTGGGTCAGAAGATGTGCCAGGGTAATATCCTCTGTACAGCAGCACTGGTGACATGCCATGCAGGCTAGGCACAAGGCATGACAGCCAGCACTAGCCACAGCCCTCAAGCAGCATTCCAGCTACAGTAGGGAAGCAGATGGTCTCTCGTTCCCCAGAGTGGGCCTGTCTTACTCATCCTCCTGTTTTCTATCTGAAAAACTTTGTAGAAACATTTACAAAACACATGAGAGCCTTTGCTCGAGACCAGTGTAGAGGAAATCCACTCAGATACCTGGGACCTGCACTACAATTTCTCTGGGCTTTTTTCTTGGTGACTGTTCAGAGAGGTGCCTTTTCAAGCTATTCTCAGAGCACTACAAGGCTTACTGAAAGCACAGTTGCTAGTATGGATGGATGCTAACCCTTCCCAAAGCATTTTTGTTGTTGGCTGATGACTGTGGGAGGCTATTGTTTTAATCCCAAAGACTAAAAAGGAAGCAGGGATTGCTATAACCCTAATTTCTCCTCATTCTCCTCATTACTGGAGAGGTTTGTTCTAGTCTCAGACTTTAAATAATTGATGCTGTGAGTTTAACAGCTCCTCATAAAAGGAGAGCATGGCTTTGTAGCTCATAAAAAAAGTGTGTCTGAGAAATAAAAGATGTCATTAAAAGGGCATCCCTCCAGCAAGTGGAGCTCACTATCCCTATGGGAGGATATCCCCTGCCCTGTGCGGGTATCAAGTCTGCAGGACTCCATTGGGCCAGCTGTGCCTCTGAGAAAGAGTTCCTGCGCCTGGTAAACACAGAATTTCTCCTTCCAGCATCCCCAAAAGTCACCAGATATGGAGGTCTCTGTGTGCACATGCACGATACACGTCCACCTTGATTAGTTACTCATTTTAGGAGAAATGACCTTCACTGGGAGGTCATGATGTAGGTTTTGGTTCCCTCAGAAAAGGGGTTATTTAATCAGGAAGCAGACTAGGAGACAGATTTTCTCTATTCTTTCTTCATATTTAAATTTTTTTTTTCCCCTCCAGTTGATGGTCAGGTGTGTTTTCTCTCTCTTGGTAAGAGATGGACCAAGGATGGATGACCCTCAATGAGTTTATCCAGCCGGGATGAGATGGCCTCTGTGGGCTGTCAGCCCATAGCTCACCTCAGGCTCCCTTGGGGCTCAGGGCACTTGGGTTTCTGACCTCAGGGGTGATCTCCTACACAGGAGCTGAAGGGCAGGGCCAGAACAGAGCATTACTGGAGACACCTGGATTACTGAGGAGCACCTGAGCAGTGAGGGCAAGGGAACAGTTACGCTGTTCTGTCACACAATCGCTTTTATTAATAGAAACAATATTGTACAGGTGCATATTCACACAGAGGGCTATACAGACAACATTCCCTCATAGACACACACAAAGTATTGTAATATGAGAGCTGCTCTACCAGCTCCTCACAGCCAGCCTGGTGTCCTGTCCTGGTAGAAGCAAAAGCCAAGTCCAGGAGCTAAAACCAGAGTGGGTGTGCGTGCCATTCCTTCCGTATATTTCCCAGTGTTCAGCCTCAGTGCCTGAGGGCAGTCAGAGCATCTGTGGGTAAAAGTTTACAGGGGGTTTCTTTGCACAGGGAGAGTGCAGTTGGCAAGATTCATGTGGCTTCACTCTTCCTCCCTGATCCTCTTTCTCTGCCATGATTCATTAGCAGCATCATCCCGGCTGTTCGGTACCTTTTGAGACACATCAAATTGTTGCTGTGAAGTAAAAGGAGTATTACCCCTTGGCAGGATGAGAGCAGAATGCAGTGCAGGCAAGGATGCAAACCAGAATGGACGTATCTGATAGCTCTAGGAAGCCTTTGATTAAATATAGACGTGGAACACTAATACATGGCTGTGAGGGAAGTTTAATGTTGTGTGATAGAGCTGAGAAATGTATAGAGGCTGATTCTTATCTCACACCGGTTTTGATTCTGTTGAGATATTAATCTGCTTCTGCTTTTTACCAGAAGGAATGTGGAATAAGGCTCAAAAGTGGGGGAAGAAAAGTATTACACCATTTATTTCTTTGCAGCACTGCCCATTTCTATCTGCTCAAGATCTGACCCATAATACTTGGCAGTCTGTGTACCTCCCAGCCGTCTGTAACAGTACTCATCCTATTTTTTTTTTCCTTCCAAAATAGCAGTTTTATGTTATTGTCTCCCAAAGGCATGGCTCATAAATAACTCTGCCACGCTGTATAACCATTCTAAATGGAATTTATACACGCTGATATATTTTGGGGAATATGTTAAGGAAGGGTTTTTTATTATGCTATCTTTACATGTCATCATAGTAATAGCTGTTGCATTATATTTGTTTCATCTCAGCAAAAAAATACTGGAATAACAGATGAAAGATCAGAACACTCGGTTTTCTTGTGACACTTGCTGGTTTGGATTGGGGTTCTTGAAGCATTGTCATCTGGGTGACATGCTTAGAGGACTCTCTGACCTCTTTGAGTCACAGAAGATCTCAGGGAAATTTTTAGTAATAGTATTCATCCTTGATTCCTTCGTGAACTCTGCTTAATGATAATTGAAGTTCTCTTCAAATCTCCTTACATTCATTTTGGCTTCTGCTTCTTTCAGTTCCTCCACCTTTGAGCAACTTTGATATGTCCTTGAAAAAAAGTCTGTCCCCTGGATGGGCTTTTTGGGCCACTGGGGAGGTTGAGGCGTGATAGATGCAGTGTGCGTTCAGAGGGGTGTGGGAATGGAAGGCTGCTGGGAGTGTGCTTTCTGATTTACTCTGCTTCCTAGCAGGAAGACAGACAGCTGTATTTTTCTTTCAGGAGAACTCCAGAGTTCTGAAGCAAATCTTTATCCGGAGCCGAGATGTGAGCAGCTACTTCATCTTGAGCCCGGGAACCTACGCTGTTGTTCCTGCTGCAACAGCGGACCAGGAATTCCAATTTCTCTTACGAATTTTCATAAAGAGCCAAGACTACAATGAGTAAGATGATGCACACTCCTTAAAGGCCCCTGACTCACAGCCTGCCAGGAATTAACTATTTAATGTCAAGATAACTGATGTGGCAATTTGCTTTTAGTGTATCCTTGGAGGGTGGGGAAGGCACAGAGGAGTGTAAAGCACCTGTTGAGGGGGATCAGTCCTGCACTGCAGAGCAGGGTAGGAGCTCATCTGCAGCCACCAAGGGTCTCAGCTTTGGTACAAAGAGCCACACAAGGGAACCATAATTGTCAGATATGTCCTCAAACCCTGATTGTGGGAACATTTCTCTTTGCTGAAAGGAGGATTGTGAGCTTGATTTCCCTAATTCTTAACAGCTGTTCAGTAGTTTCTTATGTTCTGCTGGCTGGATGCCAGATGGACCATGTCCCATTCTGCTGAGAGTGGGACCTGGAGAAGCCAAGAGCAGTGAAAGGCCTGGATCCTTTCACTTAGCCACCTCATAGACAGGCAGGGCTCCCTGTAGGCATGAGAGCAGCCTTGAAGATAAGTTTAGTGGAAAAATGGTATCTGAGTTCATGCAAAGGCAGCTATTGCCACACACACACATTGACATTACCACGTGAATATTTGGGTGTGGTTTACTCCAGGTAAGCAAGCTTTGAGTCCCAGCATTCACCAAATGACCTGCAAGCATCAGCTGTGCAGTGCCTTCAGCAAGCTTTAGAGTGGATGTGATTGCAGCTCTTACCTCACTGGCCCGTATCTTAATAATGAGATTGCTTTCCAGGCTTTGGCCCCTGGCAAAAATAGCCCAGAACCAACTGAGGCAACTCCTGAGTTATGGAGAGCAAACACAAGGAGTCCGTGCTGTGGGCTGGACTGCCTTCAGCAGGGTGAGTCATGTGTGAGACAGCTCAGCCCTGGAACTGAGCTTTTCAGGAGAGCCTCTGACCCTCACAGACCTTCCTGAGCTAGGCCAGGTGTGGATGTGACCTTCCAGTGAGTTTTTGCAGCACTTACCTATACAGATGTTATAAAAATAGAACCTGGCTTGTCTAATTTCTCTGCCACAAGCAAAACTCAAGTACTGAATGTGGCTGACAAGTGTGCCTTAGAAACAGTGACCCTGGCCCAGTTTCAGGCAGTCTGCAGACATTTAGATGTTGCCTTTTAATAGCCCAGATGCATTTTTTATTCCTGACTGTTAAGCTGGGCAAAGAGAAAGGAGGTGAAAAATTTCTGTGTCTGAAGGCAGGGCGGCCCTGTATTCTGCATGGTGAGGTTAGTCCTGGCGTGCTCAGGGTGAGACAAGCTGCCCTTTCTCTGCTGCTGGTGCCAACAGAGCTGGCTTGGGGAAGGCAGTGGCCCCAGAGCAGCTGGAGACTCAGACCTGTCTGTGCCTGTTTGCACAGAGAGACCCAGGACTGGTGCAGCAGCCTTGTCTGAGCTGGGCCAGGCTGGGCCATGGGTGCTGAGCACCCTGTGGGGCTCTGGGCTGGGTGAGTGCTGCTGGTGGTGCCTGCCTTCTGCCACAGCTGCAAATCAGTGCTCTGGAAAGGCCTCTTTTCTCTCTGATTCTTGTAAATCTTTTCTAGGAACTCAAACTCCCCATCAGGCCCAGTGCTGCCAATGGTAAGAGTCTGAAAACTGGTGAAGGTGCTGATGGTGATCATTTGGTCACCTTTACTGACTCCTCTTCATCTGCTTTTTTCTCCCTTTACCACGCACTACTGTCCCAGATTTTGACTCTGGCACCCTGCAACTTTGCTGGCCACCTCTCTAGAGAGATGGGAGTGACAACAAAGCCCTTCCTCTTCTCATATCTTTTTCAGAGCCTGATTTTTGAGGAAACAGGTCTTATACAGTCCCTTTGTCAGCCTGTCCATCTGTCCTTTTCACCTCACCATCTTTAACACTTTGACAAACCAAATATAGGAAGGGAGAAAGCACTTAAAAGCTTCTAAATTCTTTCAATATCTGTAAGATGTATATCTATGGGGGAGAGAGAGAGAGAAACTTAATTCCTGTGAGTGGGATTGGACATGCCTTCTCCATGGGAATGATGTCATTTAAGTGCTTGGACCCTATAAAGCACAGGAGTCTATAGGGATGAAACTCAAATCAGATTTCTGCTTATTTTCATCAGGATGAAAGAGACAGAGACATAAAGCAAACTGCACTTTGAAACTGGCTGCATCTCTAGTTCAACACACGTGTTTTCCTCTCCAGCCCAGCTACTGTGGGTTTTTTGACTTGCTGTGAGCTGTGCACATTGCCAGGGCTGGTCCAGTCCTGCTAGTCCCACCAGCAAAACCCTGACACTGAGAGGCTGCTATCTACAGCCTTCAAAGACACAGATCTTTGAAGCCAGAGGTGAGAAGCTGCTTCTGGAGAGCAGAAAACAGCCCTTTCCTTATGACTCATTTTCCAGCACACAATTAAGCCCCATTAGAGGGGTAGTGTAAATGGTGACTTTTTATCTCTTTCCACTGACAAGCTGTCAGTTTACCTGACTTTAGTCCTTAGTCAATGTTTTGACTTTGATGAATTGTAGTACCCACAGTTTCTGCTCCTGTTCAGGTATTTGGGCTTCTTTGGTATGAAGTATCTCACACAGAGATGAGGACATTGAGTCTTGGGCTTGGATTTTTTTTCTGAAAACTTTATAATGTTAAGGATAATTCCCCTTAATGCCAGGTAGATCATTTCACTGGAAGGCTGAAAAAAAATCACATAACCATTGAATTGCAATTGCTCAGGTATAGTCCAAGCTTATCTTGGGGTTGAGAGAAAGGAAAAGTCAACTCATGCTCTATTTTCTTGGCTCACATGAATCTCCACGTGCCCTGAGCAGTGGTCCCAACCAAGGTCTGCTAATAAGGATCAGGCCTTGTGTCTCTATACTGAGGTATTGACTTGCTGAATTCCACCCTGGATGTGTTCTGTCATCTTCCTTAGGCACTGAACTGCTCCTTCCTGGTTGTACTAACTGCTGACATCTGAAATATGTTGCTTCCTTCGTTGCAGTAGCAGTTGCTCATTCCTAGTTGACTTTATTTTGGGGGTGTGAAAATTGCAGCCTGTGCTGTACATTCCCTGCCCCTCTAAAGTGTTGCTTGGATTGGCAGACTTTTGCCTCCAGTTGTTTTGTAGCTGAATTATTTATGTCTGCTCTTTGTTTTTGATGCAGGATGTATCAAGACAGAACCAGGACAGCTCCTATAAGGCTCTTTTCCTAAGATATGCTAAGCAGGTATCCTCTCTAAAACATATTGTTTAAAAAAAAATAATAAAAATATGACATCTGGACTTGAAAAAAAGAAAAACTGATCTATGGTGTTGATACAAATCCATTTAGAATTTTTTATTTTTTTTTGGAAATGTAGCTTCATCTTCAAGTGGATACCCTGAAAATGGTATTGATTGACCTGCCAAAACCCCCAGAAATATGGGACATTCAGCTGGGATAGATTGTCTAGTGCTATATATCAGTGGACTATTGGAGATTTATAGTTATGCTGGTGATGGGCTTGCATGTGTACTTTCTTTTTCTTTTTTTTTTTTTTTATTATATTTTCATTTGGTTTGTTTTTTTGCTGAAAGCAATTAGAAAGTCTTGGGCAGTCCCCCCCTCTCATCAGCATCATTTTCCATTTGCCTTCTCAGCACTTGGGAACCAGACATCAGTCAGCGTTTGAGTAATTGATTCCTGCTCTTTCAGAGCCAAGCTCTGTGCTCACAGGAGATGCTTTTAATGGTTTAATAAACTGTTATAAAGAACTCCTTGACTTAGTCAAGAGGAAAAAAAATCACTGTCAAAAGTCTCTGCACAATGAACCTCTTGCAGTTAATGGTTATATCAATGCGTGAAGGTGAAAATGAGCACGGGCTGCATGCCGGGTGCCCCGGGGGTGTCTCGGGAGGGAGGCAGGGATCACTGATGGGCAGATCCGGGGGAAGCAGCTCCTGTGCTCCCAGCCCACCTGCACAGCTGTCTGCTGTGCTGCCCATCCCTGCAGAACAAACCCCACGGTGATGGCAGTGCCTGTACTGCGTATAAGTAAAGCCTTATGAAAGAAAAGCCTTGTTGCCCTCATAAAATCAGAATTCAAGCCTACTGCCTCAGCTAAGTATAAGAAAACTATAAGAGAGTGACTCAACTAAAATAAGAGTTAAAAAACCTTAAAAGACATAAGAAATGTGCTACAGAAACTGCTACATATCCACATTGTAGTGTACAGTGATTAGTTAACTTAAGCTTATTGTGCCTTAAAACTATGTAAACTAATAACCAGCTAGCTACTGAAAAAGCCTAACTTTTACAGTTACCACCATCTTCAAAATCAATCTCGTGTCCACCGTTGTGCCTGTAACTCATCTGCAGCTGTAGGGAAGAACTTGGAGTGGCTTGGCAGTGTGGAGGGCCTTGTTATGCTCCAGAGAGGATGCTGCTGCTCCCTTGGTACATAAACAGAGGTGCTTGGTTGCCACAGTGCCTGAGAAAAAAAGGTTTTGGGAAAAATTGACACAGGAGAAAACTTAACACTCACAGATCTCTCTTTGTGTTTTATTTTGTGTTAGGGCTCAACTATTGATGCCTTGCAGCTGCAACAACTGCTTAATGAAGTGATCTTGCAAGGTAAAGCTTTTACAGCCCAACTCATGTTTTTGGTGCTTGCCTATCCTTAGGCTAGAGTAAATTGACATAGGATGTAATGGTGTCCTGATGGTCATTAAAAAATCCTCACTGTGGCTTGCTGCACTGTGGGATCAGAGCATGAGAGGGGCACATCTGGAGGGCTGGAGCCAACTCAGCCATGCACAAGGCACAAAGTGCTCTTAAGGACTTGCTAAATCAGCATAAGTGGCCTTTCTTGTCACTGTCATTTCCCTTATCCTTATTTCAAGAGGGGAGAGTTTCCATCTGTGGGCAGGGACTGTGCAGAGTAAGCCCAAAGAGGGCACCTGTCCTTGGGGAAGGTAGAGATGTCTGAGATGTGCAGATTCCCTCAGCTTGGCACAGAGCCCTTCCTGCTGTTTGAGAGCCTGAATCAGGAGCTTTTCAGCTGTGTGAGCCTTCAGCCTGGGGTCCTCCTTCCCTCAGAACGATGTCCTGATGCCTGTCACAACCCTTGCTCTTGCTAATTCCTTCTGTTTTGTCAATCCTTGCAGATGAAATGACCAGCCTGGGAGGGAGATTCAGCTTTGATTCATGCAGAGGCATTTTAGCTCTGATGGATGTATCCTTTCAGCAGAAGCAATAAACTTCCCTGGTGCTGCCCATCCTTGCCTTGAGTTATGGCTGAGCTGAGCATCCCAGTGTGAGAACCTGCAAGCAAATATTAGCCCCAGTCCCCAGTAAATAACTGTCCCATAGTCCATGCAGGACTTTGCTGTGCATGCCCTGGCTCTGGTGTGTCTGCTGAGAGGTGAGGATCAACCTTCTGCTACCAGCTGACTCTTTGCTCTCATTTTGCCCTCTCTGGGGCTTGGCTAAGCTTCACCCTTGGGTGGGGGTCTCAGGCAGAGGTGAGACAAGGAGGCAGGACAGAGCTTAGGTGTAGCTCAGCTGTTCTGTGGTGGTTGCACCATGCTGGGGTGGCGCGTTCATTAGGCTGCCAGCGATGCTGGTGTCAGGGGCAGAAACACTGTCACTGCTGAACCCCAGGCACATGCCTGGCAGGCCATCCCAGAGTATCTTTCCAGTGTGTCTTTCCTATTTAGCTGAATCACTCAGTCTTTTTACTGCTAACAAGACAATACAAGAAATACATTTCTGGCCATTGTAGAACAAGAGAGCTCCTTGATGAAAACATCCATTCTCCCATAAATGTGTTTTTCCCCCTTGCTTGCTCATCGTCTCTTTTCCTCCATGTCTTGAAAAAGCTTTGAGACATTTTCAGACCTTTAGAAACTGCCAGAGGATGAATAAAAATGACCAGAAGTCCCTCTCTCTTTCCAGCCTGTCCTGGGATAAGCGGGCTCTGTGAATGCATGGCACGTGCGAAGAGCTGACAAAACCTCTGCTTTGCTGTAATTCAGGATGGATTTTTAATTCTCTGGCCTGCAGATAACCCATGCACAGTGTGACCTATCCTGGCCTGCAAAGCCAGGATCAGCTTTTTTCACTCAGGTTCCACGACAGTGGCACTTGTCTGCTTGTATTTCACTGGTGATGGGTTTTGCTTTCGGGGAGGTTTCAGCATGCTGCATTGGGGTGGGTACTGTGTGTCTGCCTGGGACTCCTGGAGGGGAGCAAGCCCACTGACACAGCCCTTCATGCACTCCTGGGGGGTGTCTGCCTCAAAGGCTGCTGCTGCTGCCTGACTGAAGGCATCTGGATCATCTCCTTGTGCTCGTACCTCCTCAGTGCCTGTTCTGGAGGATCCGGGAAGAGCAGGTCCTGTGGGGCCTCATGCAGAGGCAAGGCCCCGGGGCCATGTTCACTCACAGGGGCGTCCGTGCTCTGGGGTTAAATGTCACTGCAGCTTCCCCTGCAGTTAAAGTTTTATATTTATAAAAATAGAAGCCTTTTGTGGACTGTGAGCACAGGCATGAGCAGCTGTACAATGTGTCAAAGAAGGTGGATTTAAACACGACAAAGCTCTTGGCTTTCTCAGCATGAAGACAGAAGAGGCCGCATCTCGTGTGTTTAAGTTCTATGGAGGCAGCATCCTCAAGCAGCAAAGACAGCCAGATTTAGATCTCATTAAGTGCTCGATTCTTAACTAAATGCACAGCTCAACTCGAATGGAAGACTCACCCTGCAGGAGTTCGGGAGCCTCTGGCGAAGTCTCACTAAGTACATGGTACGGGGTGGGGGTGGCTCTCTCTGGGCTGTGTGTACTCTGGATTCTGTGGATTCTGCGGATTCTGCACCCCAGGGCTTTCCAGCAGCGGGGAGCAGATGCTCTGTGCTCTCACAACGCTGCGGGGGGAAGCCTTGCCAAGGCTGCTTGCTTAGCGGGTCAGAGTTCCCTCCTCTCACGCAAGGGAGGCAGTGGTGTGTGTAAAGTGCTCCAAATGAGCAGCCTTTTTTTTAAAAAAAGGCTTTCTAAGCTGAAATGAGTTCTTAAACAGAATCATCTGAAAAATGTCATTTCCTCATTTCTTCAGTTTCTAGTGGAAACGTGTAGGATCTAATGAAAGCTTGTCTGGGAGAAATGTTTCTGCTCCAGGATAAGCACTGGAAGCAGTGACATAGTATTTAGGATCCCACCTAAATTCTTCAGGGCATGCATGGCAGCTTCTCTGTGTCAGGTCCTGCTCCCTCAGTCGTGGTGCAGGACAGGAGGGCTTCCTCAAGGCTGAGGTTTGGGTGGGCTCTGATTTATTCCAGCCCGTTTCCTGTCTGGATAGGGCTGCTCTTCCCACTGACAGCACCTCAAATGTGGCTTGTGGTGTGTTAGGAAAGCAAAAAGTCTTCTGTCCACCCCAAACTGTGGGATTTCTTACACAGTAACATTCTATCAGAGCCTTCTGAAAGAGGGTCTCCCTTGTCACGGCCACCCCATCTCACCTGCTGAATTTCCTTGCAGGCTATTTATTAAAGGAGGAGAACTTACATAACTCATTGCAGTAGTAAGTATGGGGAATGGTGGCAAGAGCTTGAAATCTGCCTTTGCACTGTATTTTAGGATATCTTCAGCAAGGAAGACAGAAACCGTTCTGGATTTCTTGATGTTGCTGAACTGAAGAATGCGATACAGGCAGCAGGTACGCCCAGAGGTGCCGAGCAGCTCCCTTTCCTCTGCCTGTGGCAGTGAAGGAAAGGGTGAAAAAGAAAGAGGAAAGAAAGAAGACCTTTGTGGAGAAAGTGGCTTGGACTTCACAGAGAAACCAGTTAGATCGCAGCTCTGCTGAGAGATCTGTGCTGGGGAGCCAGCAGAGACGCAGAGAAGTGCAGCACCGGGCAGAGGGGCTTCTAGGTCATGGATGGAACATCCAGTGGAGGAAAGGAGAAAGGAAGAGTGGATTCTTGCACTTGCCTCAGTTCCTGCAGTTTCTCTCTAGGGCAGTGACTAAGTCTGGAAGGGAAAGCCACACCAACAGGCATTTATTTAGTTTGCACTGACCTCTGTTGGCTACTGAGTGCTGAAACTCTCAGTGAGTGCACGAGTGAAGCATTTTAGCTTCTCAACGGAGACTGTGTGTGAAGTTCATCTCTGACAAGCGATCCCCTTTTAACTGTACAGTAGAGAAGCTCCCATTTGGCTGCCGGGAGCTCTGAGGGTGCTGTCCCAGGATTGCTGTCCCTGGAAGCCATCAGCTGGGGGAGGCATGTATAATTTTTTTGCTGCTGAGAGCTGGGCAAAGTATAAGCATCTGCCTGAGAAGTGCAGCACTGATGTGCCAAATGTCAAAGGAGAAGTTGCCAGGGCCATTCTGTGAGAAAGATGCTAAAGTGTAAAACTGGGAGGAAAACTGTACGTGGAAAAGTCCTGTCAGCCAAAACAATGCAGCTCTTTGAAGGGATGAAAGACACTGTTAAATGGCAATTCAATACATGTTTGGCTGCAAGTAGTTCTGAGTGGGGAAGAAAATTACAAGCTCATTCTTGCTGCCCTCTGAGCCAGACATCTGCATTTGAATCTGGCCTGGCAATGGGATGATGCCTGTCCTGGCTTTTGAGCAGGAACCCCAGAAAGCATCTGGGGGCTTGGTGCTACCTCTGGGAATAATATTAATGTATCCAAATCCAGCTCCTAGCCAGCTGTTCCCTGAAGAGTTCAGTGCTTTCCCAAACAAAACACTGCAGTGTGTGCTTAATTTTCACTGTTTTCCTAATGCTTCCAGTAATAATAATAATGGATCAGAGTAAAGCAGGCCAGCTGCATTAACAGCAGTGCTGCCCTGCAATGCAGCAGCATTGGCCTGATGTATTTAAAAACTCCTCTTTGGCAACTGTAAATGATTCAAAATAATTTTTATAAATAGGAAAATGTCGAGTCAGTAATTAAAAGCTTGGCTAAAATCAGAGTATAAAAGCAGATGAAAGGTTTGGGGAGTAGTCTTACAAATCAGCTGAAAAGTCTTGGGAACAGAGAGGACTGGCCCTTAAGTCTTGTTGAAGAGGTTAATTGAGAGGCATTGCCAAGTGAGCAGATTTCAGAGCAAGTGTATCCCAGACTGACCAGGCCAAATTTCTGGTGTTTTAAGACTTGATGACTTGATTGTAGCATCCCATAAGCAATATTTGCTGGAATCTTCTCTCTGGAGAGAGCTTGATTGAATTCCCACTGTCTTCACAAAGGTTAAAAATGGAATTCATTGCTCACTGCTACAGTGGTTTAACACCAGAGTCAAAGAAGACATTTCATTAATTAGATTTATTTTTAATTACTATCTTTATCTCCTTTGAAAAGAATATAAAATCAGGCTTACCTTAATTTGAAATGTATCGTAGGCCCAAATGTATTTCCATTCTTTAATTGCTCAGCATTGCGTATCGGATTCCTGCTGGAGACCTCCAACTAGGCTCATGCAACCAGAGTTTGTCAGTGGAGGTACTAAACCACTCCCAACAGCTCTCTCTCCCTACACAGGTGTAGAGAAGCCATTTCTTTTATTTCTGTTTTTTCAACTAATTTAGCTTCATGATGAGTTCATTTAAAACTGAAAAGTTTAGAGCTGGTTGAAAAAGCAGGGAAGTTACTTCACATCCAGCTGAGCTACTAAAACCTGGAGTGAGAAAATGAGACTTTTCTGAAGTCTCAGAGAAGGCATTAAACCAAAGCTATCAGTCCAGCTCTCTGCAGAAAATTTCCCTTTTGTTTTGCAAATCAGCTTTTAGTGCAAAATATATTTAAATCATTCCTCTTATATAGCCAGCACACTTAGGGTAGTTTTATTTAACTAATAAAAGAATCATTCTAAAAAGCAATTTTCGTTCATTCAATTGAATACCAATTTTCATCCAAACAGACTGCGACACAAATACTGAATAATCAGCTAATAAAAAAGAAATGCATCCTTCACCATTTTCTAATAGAGGAGAAAATATAAAAATTAAGAATCCCAGGCATGCTATGCAGCATAATAGCCTGAGCATGCAGCATCTGCCTCTTTAGCAGAAAGAGCCAGTGGTATTGGAAATGCTGCACTCAGACTTCGACAGTCATGAGCCAAAGAAAATCACCCTTTCTTATAGAAAATAGAAGCTAAAAGGGCAAGATAACACTAGACTAGTTAGCTCAGTGTTTGCAGCTTGCTGACTTAAGCCACAATGGGAGTCAGTAAGGCGACTTTGGTTTTCCATTGCCCCGCCCTGACTCTTTGGCACGAGGTGGGGGAAAAGGCTGTCCGGGAGTGTATGACAGGGTGAGGGGCTGAGGGTGTCCCCAGCTTGCTGGCAGGCTGCAGGAGAGCATCAGAGCTGGTCCATCACCTCTCAGTGTGTCTTCCCTCGGCAGGTCTGGCCACCAGCGGGCAGCTGCTGCGCCTGATGACGCTGCGCTACGGCGATGCCGCCGGCAGAGTTGGCTTCTCCGACTTCGTGTGCTGCATGCTGCGCCTGGACACCATGAGCCGTGAGTGCCAGCACCCGCCAGGGCACGGGCAGCAGGGCAGCCTGCAAAGCCAGGCTGAGAGCCAGGGACACGACACCAGGCTTGGCAATACGTGTCTGACAGCCTGGCTTGGAAGTGGCGCGCCTGGCCCAAGTCCAGGCATGGCCCAGGCAGCTCTTTGGGCAGCCTGTTTGCCAGGAGCCTGGTTCATCTCCTGTCCTCTGGAACAACTGGCTGCCAGAGAGCAGTTCAGTGTTCAGTAAAGTTCTCTCAGTTTTGTGGTAAGGAGAAAGGCTGGTGTCCCCTGTGGATAAACAAACCCATTCCCTGTGTTGCGTCCAGCTATTGCAAGGAGGGAGTGTCTGTAAATGAGCTTTTGCCTGAATGGAAATGCAATTCTGTTTCACAAAACTGTGATTTTTGCTACTCTGATAATAAGCATTGTGACTGGAAGTACTGGTAGTTAAACTAAGTCAGCAACTGTGACCCCAGTGCTAGAACATCGCTACAGCAATTTATTCCATCTTTGGAATGAGCTGGGCTTCAACGGTGCGTGGAAAGGAGCGCTCATTTTCTCCCATGTGTTTTCAGCACTGATGTTTAATGGGCCAATAGTGGTCAGCAGACCTGCTTGGATGACACTGCCTAAAATCCCATTTCAAGGGAGTACAGCAGAAGCAGCTCTGGAACTGTTTCAAAGTCAGAGCATGTCTCGATTTTAATGCTTTCATTAAAAAAAAAAAAAAAAGCTTGTAAACACCCGTTTTTTATGATTATACTTGTCACTTGCTGTAGATGAAAGTTTTTATGCCTAAATTAGTGCCATAGTATTTTTTTCATTTAAAAAAGATCCTTTTACATTTTAAGTGCCAATGTAAAGACAAATCCTTTGCATCCATGTGGAAAGAAGTCTCTAAAAGTTTCATTGCTGTCTGTAATGAGAATCTTAAAATGCTCTCCACTCTTTCAGTTATCACTTTACAGAGGGTTTAATGTGGAATACATTTCTCAAACTTTTTAGATCATTGTGAATAAGTTTGTTACAGGAGAGGATAAGGGTGCCAAGTGGGAATAAAAGGCAGTCAACCTTTATGAGGATGTGAATGCAGCAGGGAAGATAAAATCTGTCCCATTAAATCATTACTCATCCTTTCAAGATAGCCAGAGATGAGACCTAAACCAAAAGCAGCAGCTTCTTTGCAAATTCTATTTAACTGGACTTAATGAAGCAGTAAAGAGGCACTTTACCTCTGCCCAGAGGAGGTAATTTCAGCACTGCCACTTTTTCCTGAAAAGACTGCTGGGTGCAGGCCCAGCCCTGCAAATACAGCCTTGGACTGGGCACAACACCAGGGTTTCCTTGCTCTGTGCCTTTCTTCAGAGCAGTGTGGGCTGGATGTGCCACCTTTCCTCCCTGCTCTGGGCCATGCAGGAAGCTCTGGTGCCCTCCTAAGGGGCAGATGAGCAAGGAGCCCTTGTGCCCTGTTCCTACCCTCTCCCAGCAGCCTTTTTGCTAAGGCTGGGCAGGTTTCAAAACATCTGTAATCGTACAAAGTCTTTTTCATTCAGGGTGGGAAACTCCAGGCTGCCAGAGGAATGTGTCATTCAAGGATAGACAGACTTAAATTTGTTTCAACTTTTTATTACTGTTTATAACGGCACATTTCTCGGAGAAAAGTAATTTCAAAATAAATAAAAACCCTCAAAATACTGTGTTTTGAGTTTATCCAAACACTTGGTTTGAAGGCTTCTCCTAGACATACTGCAATATAAATATGCACATAGAATAACAATATTTGAATGGATTTAAATTTTCTGATGGCAAAGTGTTCTGTCAAAAAAACTTTCAGCAATGTTAATTTCAAACTCTAGCTGAATAACAGCAGCATCTGCATTTATATTCCCTGCAAAAAGCTTGCAAGGCATACTAATGACTTCAAGAGAACCACTTTCTTTAGGGCAGGCTGTGATCACTCACTGCCAGGGAGGATGGAGAAGGACCAACAGAAAGTTTCCCTGTGGGAAGATGTGTTTCATTAGCTCACCGTCCTTCTGTCAGTCTTCAGGCAGGAAAACAATTGAAACAAATTATGAGAGGAGATGAAAGCAGCCGCATTGAGCACTGCCTGTCCTGACACTTCTGCCAAATTTTGGCCCCAAAATTGGGATGCCTTCCCAGGCTGTGATCCAAGAGCCAAGGCAGAAGGGGTACCCAGCACAGAAATGAGATGTGGCCAGGCAGGACACCTGAGCCAGGCAGAGCATCCCAGCACAGGGATTGCAGTTCTGCTCCTCAGCTGCCACAGCCTTGTCTCTGCATTGTATTCATGCTTCTTCCTCATGAAATAAGGTTTTTTTTGTTCTGCCCTTAGATGCATTCCAAAACTTAGCAGAGGGTGCATCACAAATTTCGATGACAGCAATGGAGGTAAGAATGTTCCTTCTCTTCTCCCCAGCTCCAAAGTAGGAGCACATGTTAGCAGAAGGGTGAAGTTAAAGATGATGTGTGATGTATGTTGCTAGGCTTTTGCCCTAGCATGTAGTGGTGGAGGTTTTGCCTGGCTGGAAGTAGATGCTGCGTGGGAGGTGTTTCCCTGGAGTTCCCTGGCCCCAGGGGTGCACTGCTCAGAGGTGGCCACCCCTGGCCAAGGCATGGAGTCTTCCCTTACTGACACCAGCCCGTCATTGCTGGAAACATTGCTCAAAGTGACTTTGAGGAAGTGACCAAAAAAACAAAAAATCCATGTCCTCATTTTTTACTGCCCCATCTGTTAATCCTGAGTTGCAAAACATCTTGGTTTTAAGAAAGAAACAGCAGACAAATGCTTGCTGCTGCTGTTTGTCTTAAAAGCACAGCCTGAAGGATAGCTCTCTGAATGGGGATGCATCAGGCTTTTTATCAGCTAGTCTGAAGCAAAAATCCTGCTGTGCTCTATGGTGATATGCCTGAGTACTGCATTTTATCAGTCTGGGGACTGTTATTTGACAACCCAGTATTTAAAAAGATTTTTTTAAAAAGCCTTTTGCAATCTCACCAGCTCCCGTTTATACTCTGTGGTTAGTGCAAGCCTCATTGTTCATTAAATCCGTTTTGCACCAAGGGCAGAGAACAGTTTGCAAGCACAGGACCTGAACCTATTTTATAGGGGAGTCTGTGGGACAGCCAGGTTCCCAGAAGTCACTATCTCTTCCACTTGCAATCAGGCAGGTGCCATCCTTTCCCTCCAATTGCTCCTGCTGCAGCTGCTGCAATAATTTATCATGGAAAACAACATATGGAAAGAGTTTCTGGGTCTGAATTGTAATAAGGGAAAGAGGCAGTTCCAAAATCCCTTAACTATCCTGTGCAGTACAAAAGGACTACAGTCACTGGGTCACTCCTGAAGGTCCTGAGACAAGCCTGAGCACAGTGGTGTACCATCACTGTCTAAATGCACCTTTTCTTCTCCTTTTTCCAGTGGCTGACCCTTGTCATGTACACCTAGAGAGATGCCAGAAGTCATGGTAAGAAATCTCCTCAGTGCTGACAAGAGAGGGTGGAGCCCTTGCAGGAAGCTCAGCCTGGGTTTATGGGGGATTTTGTGAGAAGAAGCTGTGAGAGGAAGAGGGGAAAAGGTGCAGCATGAGAAGGGCTGCAAAGGGAATTGGACTTTGCACTGTTTTTTCTGGGGAATTGCTGATGGCCTCACCAGTCAAGCAGACCACCGATGGCTCAGGTAGAAATTTGCCCCCACCTGAAATAATAGATGAATGAACACAACTTATTTTTTTTGTCTCCTGAGGGGTGTAATTACTTCTGCGTATCTTACACAGCAGCAAATGTATAGTCAAACAGAGGGTGGGTATACAAAGTAACTTAGATATCTTGGTCAGTCTGATTTCACTTTTTTAACAGCATTATGTGATTTGGCTTACATTTCAGCAACAGTCCCTACCTTGTGCTTCTTTTGATGTTTGTTCCTCTCATGTCAGGCCTAGAGGGACTTTTTTCCTCTGGACTTTCCAATTTTGCTGCTTGATTCTCATGAAAGACTCTGCCTTTTCTTGCAAAACTCGAGCTGTTTATACATCTGAGAACCATCCTGGCCACTGTGCTTCTGCTAACCCTCTGTGATGCCGCTGTTCCAGCTGCAGTGTTAAAGTGTTAGTGCTGGTCCCAAACATTTGTCACAGAGGAGAAAGCAGGGAGGAAACCACATCCTTAGGAAAACGTGCCCTGGAGGGGAAATTGACCCCAGGAATTTGTGGAGCATCTTTGGGCAAAGTCAGACACTCCTTATCAACCCGGTCCAAAAATGGAGTACAAAACCCAAACCCATGACATTCTTTGAAATCCATGAACTGCATCCAGATAAGCCTTAGATAGACAGGAATTAAAATAATAAATAATACATGAACAGCATCTCTGGTGTCTCACACCCTGTTTCTGAAGGCAGTTTGTGTTGGATGCCAGCTTTGGTGAGAAGTTGGAAGGGCAAATGTATAACGGGGCTTTAAATTACACTCCCCCAGGGAGAAAGCATAGTAGGTTCAGAGCCAAGGCAGGGATGGCTCCATGTTTTTCACCTTGACTCCAGGAAACATTTGTGCCCTGCTGCTCCTCCCTCTTGGCACCTGGTTACATCCTGGGTGTCCAGCTGTGGCAGCAGCTGGGCATCAGCACTCAGCACTGTGATGCCTTCCCCCCGCTGAGCTCTGCTTGCAAACAGTTGTTTGTTTGAAAGTCTGCCCTTTGCATTCAGAGCTGTGGACAGTGCAAACCTGCATTTTGATGTGTGGAAACAGAATATTCACAACACTGCACCCAGCACTTGCACTGCAGACTGTCATTAGGTAAATATGAGAAGGACCTCGCCTTTGGAGATGAAGTTGCTTAAATTATTGCTTGCAAATTATATTCACAGTCTATTTAGTTGTCTCTTTTTTTTTTTTTTTTTCATGAATCATTCATAAACTGATCGTAACTTCTGGGAATATATAATTAATCATAATTTTCACTTACTGGTTTTGAATGAAATCCTGCCTGTAGGGTGTTTGCAAGCAGTTCACTTGAGCAATTTAGCAGACACTTGCAGCTGGAGCTTGGGCAGTTGTGGCACAGGACCCTCAGAGGACCAGAACTGTTAAAACTGGAGTCTAACAAACTGTGATTGATGTGGGAAAACACACTTGGCATCCGCTGAAAAGATTTTCTTGGCAAAAATATTCCCATTAGTGATTCCTAAAGGCTGACCTGAAGCTGGCTGTGTTCTGAGTGAGTCTCTTTACCTCTGTTTTAGGTGACTTTTCGTCCTCCTCAGTAGAACAGTGCCCAGGCCACCCCATACAAAAGCCATGGATGGAGTTCTTGAAAAACCACTGTGAAGGAGTGAAGCCAGGTGTGTCCTTATGCTTGGTGGTACTCAGATGTTGGGATGAGAAGTCCTTTCCAGGCAAACTGGAGGTGCCTTGGAGAGAGAAGAATTGCTAATGAAAGCACTCCATGGGCAAGCTGGTAGTACTTAATGGTCTGGGCAAGCTGGAAGTGTTGCCTGTAATCTCCTCTCATCTTACTATAAGTACTACAGAAGTTAGGAACGGTTCCATTAACTCCACTGCGAAAAAGAACAGACCCATACCTTTTGTGTGAAAGGCATGTATAAGATATAGGTTACAAAAACAATCAAGACACAGTTTTATTTGAGTTATTTCTTAATTTTCTTGTGCGCCGTTTGTAAGTGCCAGAAAACGATTGAAGAAATTAGTCATAATTCATAAATAACACCAGAAGCTTTCTGATTTTCTTTATACTTTTTATTAATAAATTAAGAAAAAAATAAGTCTTAGACATTTTTGAGTTCATCAACTATAGTGATTCCATTTTATTTGCTACAGCAATGGGGTGGCATATTAGAGACATAGAACAGATTGTTCGGTGCATTTTTTTCTGACTTCTAGAATCTATATTGGGACTGTCTGGGAATAGAAAAGTTTATCTTAACTGCATTCTCTTCCTCTGTTCTGATGTCTTTACAAATGAAGGACTTCTTCAAACATAATTCCTAGTCAAAAATTTAACTTAAACCTGCAAAGTAACCATAACCCTTTTGTCCCCACGCATGAACTTCATTTTCATACTTTTTTATCATGGTGTTCAGAACAAATTTAGTGATCTATTCCACTTAGCTATTGGGAATGGAAAACAAAAAAATAAAAAAAAATTTGAAGACTCTATTTGTGAAAATGCCAAAAAAGAAGGATGCAAATATCAATGGATGAAAGAAATCCAGGGTTGCCATGGCAGCATAATTCACACCATGCCTCACCCAGACCCTCTGTGCAGGTTTCCATTGAGGCATCCACACGTTAGCAACAGATTTACCCATTTGGCAAGGAGATGTCACACACTGGAGCAAGAACTAAATCACAAGATAAAGACGAAGCCCAAATCTTTGTTTTCATGAGGTCAGTCTGTGTTGTGTCACTGCCCTGTTCAGCAGCTTGGAGAGCATTACTCTTACAGGTAGGTCCTAGGCAAGAGGGGCTACTGAACCCACTCTTCCACTGAAAATTAGAGCAAGGGGAAATCAGTAAAATTAGACTATTTTAATATTTTTTTTCAGTAATTTTTGAACAAACTGATTCCTTCTCCAAAGCGGGACTTACATGTCCCACCTGAAATCGTTAATCACTAATTAAGCCCTCTGCAAATGTTGGCAAAGAGAGAAGATAAAAGGGGGCCATGGAAAAATAAATATACTTTGCTAAAAAGGTTTATTAGTGGAAGCGTTTCAGAAAAAGGTTTATGTAGCTTAGCCTTGGAATTCAAAAAGGATAATTAGAAAACTTCAAGTATTCCTGGATGACTTCCACCACACAGTTCAGCAGGGATCAAGATGGCCCGGACCTGCTGGGAACAAGCTCTTTGTAGCCACAGAGAAGTCATCTCTCTTAAAGCTGCAAAATTCAGTTCAACTGGTTTAAATACATTCTTGTTGTGTGAAAGCCTTACCTATAAAAATACCAAGCCATTAAGATCAATCTTAAAAACCTTAATTTGTGGCCGATGTATTACTTGTCCTTTTGTTGCGATGTGTAGCTGCCTTTCTGTGGAAGGCAGTTCTGCCTGTCAGGAGACAGAGATCCTTGTCTCATAACTCAGCCTGGCTACAGACTGAAATGTCTCCTCTTCATTAAAAAGCACCCCTGGTGAGAAACATCACCTATCCATGAGCTGTCTCCCCGTGAGCAGCTGCTGGGGCTGATGCTCTGGGGAGTGTCCCAGGCACAGAGCCCCTGCAGAACCCACCTCCAGCTCCATCCCAGATGCCCTTCACCCAGCTGTGTGTGGCTCTGTGCACACCAGCACTCTCAGGGACCAACCCATGGCCCCTCTGGCTTTGCAGGCTGGTGCCTGCAGGCTGATCCTGCACTGGGGCAGAGTAATAACTCACTGCTGTCAAGCTGAGCATGGCTGCCTGTCTGTGGCATTGGAAGAATTGGTATTCCACTTGATTTATACCTCCAACCAAGCTAATTAAGCAACAGTTCAGGAGGAATCCATCATTGTGACAGACTTGTTGATTAACCATCCCACGAACAAAGTCAAGGGTGCTTGGTAGCCTGAAAAAAAAAAGGTCAATAAGGGAGGAAAGCAATGATTTGGCCATAATACAGTGGTGACTATTATTTCCAAAAGCAACAAGAAGCTTAATACATTTCACAAATACTGGGGCCAGCACTGGAAACAAAGGCAGCTCAGATCAGTGGGGTGTTAGATAAAAAGAGAAAACTTCTACATTTCATCTTCGTGTGATTAAACTGTGAAGGCAAACTTTATGGGGATGGTGCCCCTATTAAAATCTTCAGGCCCCTTCATCTGTGTTTGCCAGCTCTGAAATGTGAGTGTGGTCCCCATGAGGTTTCTGGCACTTGTGAAGGCTCTGAGAGATTCATCCAATTATGATAATATCATCTCTAATTTTTTTTATTAAAATCAGTTCCTAGTCCTCAGGGACACAAGTCTGAAAAGCCCTAAGAGAATCTGCTGTTAGGAAATGAAGAGAAGGACCTCGAACAAATGCTCTATTTTTAAATCTTCATGAGGCTAAAGCCCTCAAGAGGGCAAGAAGTAGGCTGAAGCAGATGAGATTAGTGATGCTGAGCTCCCCAGCATAGGAGATGGGATATAGAGCTGATGAAATTAGGTAGGATCTAAGCCAGCCATTAGCTCTAGAGGGACTTTGGTGCAGAGTGGTAACAGCTGACCCTGCAAGAGTAATCTCTGGATGTAATCTTGGAGTCCTGTTGTTTACTGCCCTTCCCCTGAGACCCAAAGGCCCCATGTCTTACATCTGCCTGGCAAAGGCTGTGCCCAAATCATGCCAAGATGGACAGAGGAGGAAGTTCTCACATGTCTTACCTACAGGGTCTGTTTCCTGAGCATGCAGCCTGGATCAAGGCTTTCCCAGGAACCTTGGAGGCTGTGCTTTGATGCCCACACCTCAGTGAACACATCTTCCTGCTCTGGCATGGGAGACTGAGGGTGTCCATGGCCAGTTTTGGAGCAGCTGAACCTCCCTCTCTACCTTTGGCTGTGCCTCAGGTCTCTCACAGAGAAACTGCAGCTGCAATTTATGCAGAATAACTATAACATTTTTCAAGGAAAAAAAAAAAAAAGGCTTATTATTCCATAACCACATGCATGGCTGGAGAGGGGAAGGCTGGGTGAGACCCTGGCTGTGAGCAGCCCAGTGGCCCGTGCACTTCATGGTGTGCACTAATGATTTTTATTTTTGTTTCTTAATGCAATGCATTTCTCAAAGCAGGGGACAGCTGTGCCCTGCCACAGCGAATGTCCTGACCATGGGCTGCAGAGCCACAAGCCTCTCACAAGCAGGGGTGCAGCAGTGAGGGATTGCTATTCCAGTGGAGGAATACCAGCCTGGAGGGGTGCCTGGGGACACTCAGGTCTGGCTGCTGCCCTCAGAGAGATGGTGACCCTTTCTCAAAAGAGGTACTTGTCCTTCTCTGAGTAGGAAGCAGATGGAAGTTCTGTCAGGAGAGACCCCTCCCCATGTTCAGCTGGCTCAGCAGGGGCACAGACAAATATTGGGATCATTTCTCTTTTGGGGGGTGCCAGCTCTATTTGGAACTATCAAGCTTAGCCTTAGCACCTCTCTTTAGGATCTCTTTGCTGCAGGGCTGCAGCTGAAACATTTCACTCTTACCTGGCAATTCCTTACACAAAATACCTTAACCTACAATTTCTGACTGCACTCCTGGCACCTGGTTCCACCCTGCAATAGCTGCACCTTTTCAGCCCTGGGGAGGAGGATGTCCAGGCAGTCCCAAAGCACAGCAGCCTCTTCAGAGCTGGCTTCCCAGTGCCCCCCACCAGGCTGGCCACTGTCACCCTGTGTCCCTGCCACCAGCTGTGCCCCCAGTTGTGCCTGGTCCGGGTGTCCCCAGCCCGCTGTGGCTCTGGGGTCCATTTCTGCTGCCTGGCAGTGACATCTAGAGGCTCCCTAGCCTGAGCTCCCGTCTCATTGCTCACAGCTCTTGGCACACAGAAACCTGTTCCTCACAAAAAAAAAACAGAAAAAAACCTGTTCCTCACAGCCTGGGAAGGGCTGAAGTACTGCAAGGCTTAAATCCAAATCCTTCCCTTCCCTAAGCCATCATGAGAAGGATCTTAGTTGTAGCCCCCCAAGAAAATTTGACATTGTTTCTGGGACACCAAAGGTCTGGGAGAGCCAGCCCACATCCCTTCCCTGAGAGAAGAACTGGTCCACGTAAGGCTGGTGCTGGTTAAATAATACATACAGCTTTACACTTAAGGAAATATTATTTCCTTGCTTTACATGCCATCCATTAGATTTGATGCCATCCAGCATCAAAGGCAAAGCTGCCACAGAAATACCTCTGTATCATGGCTGGCTGTGCAAGATGAAAGATTATTGTGCAAACAGTATTACGCACTTAAATGCAATGCATTCAAGAAAAGGGGAGGAAATATATCATCTCCATAGGCTGAATTATTCAGCCAGATGATGAATGCATCTCCTGAAGCAGGGTTTGAGCTGAAACACCTACCATGGGGAGAGAGAGGAATAGTATTGCCTATATGAAAGGTACTTGGTATTCAAGAGAATGTGTGTTCTCTAGGGTGATATCCCATAGGCATTTTGAGTCAGCAGAGCAGATTGCAAACAATCTTCTGGCTTGAAATCAAAGAAAAAGCAGCTTAGTGGAATAGAGCTTTCTCACAATAAAAATTTTGTAGGAATATTGCAATGAAAAGTGTGAGGAATGGCTCTTGCCCATCCTGTGTCTTATATCCACCCTCCTCTTTACTTATTTTGTCTACCTGATGCTGAGGAGCTGGACTGTAATGATGGTTCCCAGCTCCACACAGGGAGAAATGCCAAGACAAGGTGGGAGGCACAGCTGTGGGGTGACCCTTCTCCATCAGTCTTGGATTTCATGGCCTAAAACCCCTCCTCCTTATCTCCTAGGGACACAAGTTACATCTCCCTCCATGGAGCAGGAAGGTGCTTTGTTTACCAACACTGTGATGATTTGCAAGACCTAAACACAGTCATTAAGCTGTAGAAATGTTAATGTGTCTAGTTGTTTGGGGTTTTGGTTTTTGGTTGTTTGTTGTTTTGTTTTTTTTTTTCAAACCAGCATTCTATGTGCTCTAGAACTCAGAGGTGATAGGAGATAAGAAATAAAACTGAGATTTTCAAGTCAGGCTGACTTGATTTTACTGGATTGAAGAAAGAATGGTTAAAAGAAAAT